ACAAACCACTTAATTTTATTTTTTTGGATGCTAATTAAACTATTATTTATTTTATAAAAAATTATATTTTAAATATATATATATCAAATAATTAAGTAACTGTATAATATATACATATATATACAGCAACTTATTATACAAAAACTTCAAAAAAATGACTAAATTTGTATAGATGAATTTTTCAAATCAAGCTAATAAGAATTTTAGATTAAAAAAATATATTGAATATTTTAAAGGAAGCTTAAACGTTTTACATATGTAAATTCCTAAAAAATTTTAGTTTATTTTCAAAATCGTAAATTTAAAAACGTATTACACTTGATTAATGATGAACACATTTCATTTTTTGGCTTGTTGTTAAAAAAAAATATTTTTATCACTATATTAGTAACACCCTTTGGGATTCGTAGTTTTTCTCTAATATATATTATGTTATTTTAAAAGAAGGAGGAACGTTGTGAGCACTTTTTTGGTTTGGAAAATAGATAGTTCAAGGGAATTGACGGAATAGGATTTTCACGCTACAAAATTGGTGATTCAGAACACAATAATTCAGCATTGCTAAATGTCACACGATTAATACACTTCGGACTTTGGAAAAAAAGATTCTGATTTCGATTTTTCTCCGAAAATCTTTGGCAGTTCATGTTAGTAAAGTTAGTAGTGACTTACAACATGCTATCTAAGTAGATTAAATAAATTACTACTTTAACTCAAACGATAAAACATGTCATGTGTTAAAAATTGTTAATCAGGTTTCTTTAAAGTTACTCATTTACTGACGAAGACTATTTGTTTTTTATTTTTGAGTTAGTTAATAGTCTGAATCATCATTGTTAATATCTACTGAAATATTTATTAGAATTTTTATTTGCTAATAAAATAACATACAAAATGGCCAGTTTATCATGAACCACTCGATTACTCATGGAATAAAAACAATAATAAGAAACATTTTTTTTTAGTTACGTATAATTCTTGAATAATCATCTATAAATTACTTTTTTAAATCATCCCTTATAATTTATAAAGGTGTCNCATACAAAATGGCCAGTTTATCATGAACCACTCGATTACTCATAGAATAAAAACAATAATAAGAAACATTTTTTTTTTAGTTACGTATAATTCTTGAATAATCATCTATAAATTACTTTTTTAAATCATCCCTTATAATTTATAAAGGTGTCAAATTTATTTTCTCTTATGTTATCTTACATAATTTAATAACTCATTTAATAGATAATGAAGTAATTTAAAAAATGACTGGTCGATAACAATTTTTATACCAACATTTCAGAAGTTATTAAGATTTCATAGAGATGGCTAGAAGTGAGACGCGGGTGTTATTATTTTTATCACTAGTCATTTCCCAGACGTACTTTTCCTACCATCTAGGTATGAAAATAAGAATAATTTCCAAAGTACTGGTTCAAAAGTTGTTATCAACAAGTCATTATCTTAATTACTTAATTATCTATTAAATAAGCTAGTAAATTATGTACGTTGCAGTTTGAAAAAATAAAGTTGACACCCCTATAAGTTATATAGGTTGATTCTAAAAAGTAATTTATATTACTACCTAAAAAATTTTACTCCCATTATTGTATTTATTGTGCAAGTAATCAAGTGATTTATAATAAACCGATTATTCTGTATACACTCACACACACATATGTATAAATATATATGAATACATTTCGAAATACTAAGTTTTATGATGAAATATTTAATTGTGAATTCAGTTTGTTTGGTAATATATATACTGATAATTTCAGACATATTTATTTGTAGCGTGATACCAAATAAATATTTTAAAATCCAAAATTATACCCTTTAAAATATTTCTCTTAGTAAAATATTTAAAATAATTTATGAACTTTTATTTGATAAAATACTTTGTAACAAGAGAATTCTCTAATAAAAATTTTATATACTAATTTTTATTTCATTTATTGGTATTCTGACCCTAAATTGTTGTCAATTAAAAAATTGGGGTGATATAAAAACGCTTTGTTGATTTCCTATATGTATTTTATATATCAACTGATCCAAGTCTTATATTTTACTTCTAAATATACAGAGTGATTTTTTAACTAGGTTTCACGCTATATCTTTAAAAACATAAGGTTAAGTAAAAAAAAACGTTTTAATAAAGTTATGAAGATGTGACAAATCCAATAACTTTTTATTCAATAATCTTTTTGCTGTAATTTTAGCTTCGATACGAAGCTGAGATGGTATTAATTTAACTATGTGTTTTTTTTATTATTATTTCTGTCGCCACTTTTTCTCAGCTCTCACTGCATCGATTTCTTTCAACGATACGTCAAGGGATCACAAATCGTATCTTGTTAAAGACATGGCTCTTAAAAATTGAAAAAATTTCTTTCGTTTCTTGTAAACGGGACAAATCCCCCAAAAAATAAAATTTTTAAAATCGGTAAATTTTTAAAATTTTTAATTTTTTTTTCTTAAAACACCCATACCTTTTTCAAAAATTAACAAATGAAAGTAATTTTTATCAAATAAAAACCTTAGGTATTTTTTCCTTTTATTTGATGTCATTTTTTTTTATTCTTGACCCCATACTTCCCCATATGAAAGGATTTAGAATAGTATCTTTTTCACAAAAGTTAATTTTTTTAACTTAACATTTGAAAATGTTCCGGAAATACTGCGTCCTTTAAAGATATGTTAAATTAAAGCTTATGTGTTCGCGCTAAAAATTAAAAAAGAATAATTTGTCCCAAAGATTTATCTTCTATGTGAAAATTGATGCCGTAGTTAAAATAACATTTTTGTTCAGAATTTTTTAAATTATAAAATACCTTACAAAGGATTACCATAGTAATGAGTCCACCAATTTTTATAAAAGTTGCATGAATATAACTTACATTAAATATAAATTTAAACTTATTTGATTATTTTACTAGCTTCAATAGATTTCTTTCTTTACCTATACGTGTAGTGCACATGGGCTGCGTCATACATTATAAAGTCTTGTATGCTCGGGGTACAANACATGGGCTGCGTCGTACATTATAAAGTCTTGTATGCTCGGGGTACAAAGTTCGAACCCGGCAGTCAGTATAACTACTTTTTAATTTTTTTTTGAGGTGGAAAATTATTCAAAATGAATAATAATAAATAACATTCAATCAAAATATTCAATGAATATCGAGGACCCTATCACTGTTGTCACCCCTTGCGAGAAGAAATTTCTTATTCGTATTAAAATATTTTACTATATGGTTTTTGTGTCTGTCATTAATTTTTTTCATTTCTCACTTAACCAATTTTAATGACCAATACGTTAAGAGAACACGGTTTTAATCATGTTGGCCCTATTTTAGCTGAATTTGCATGAATACATTTGTATCCTTAAATAGAAAATTTTATGAGGAATAAAAAATTATATTTTCTAAATTAATTCGTGATCAGGAAATCAAAGTTTCTCTAAAACACAGTTTTTTTGTAATAAATCATTTAAATAGAAGTCTTAGTAATCATTTCTAAAAACTAGATGATACAATTGAAATATTCAGAATTACATTTTAGAATACAGAATTCCGTATAAACTACGAGGTGTGTCAGAAAATAACTGGAATTTTTGTTTTTTGAAAAAACTATTTATTTATTCATTAATGTTGTCGCCTTCAAAAAAGTCCCCATTATCTATTATGCACTTGTGCCAATGCTTCTTCCAATCCTCAAAACACTTATCAAACTCGATCTTTGGGATAGCCTTCAGCTGATTCAGCGATGCGCTTTTAATGTCATCTATGCTTGTAAAATGACGACCTTTTAATGTTCTCTTTATTTTTGGAAATAGAAACTCACCACAGGTCTTTGGTAACATTTCACACACCTTATTTCATAATTTTGCAAAATTTGATATAAATCTTTTGATCCGTTTTTTTTTTAACGAAAATCGCCGAGCTCATAAAAACACATCTAACCTTGACGGCTGCCACAGACAATATAAAAAATTAATCCGTCTGAAAAATTTATCATACTTCAGGAACATGTGTACCAATATTATGAAAAAAAAAATTGATAATCAAACTCTCCAAAACCGAAAAATTTTAAGATTCCCGTTATTTTCTAAACACACCACGTATATCTTATAGTATTCTATAATACATATATTGTATACTGATATTAAAAAATATTCCGAGCCTAGTTTCACCTATTTGTGTTGTTATTCACTTTTGTGTTATTGAATTTCATTTACACCTATATTTTATTATATGTTAATACTCATTTTTAACTAATCATTAATAATATCAAAACTTAGTGGTGATGGAAAAAATCTAATTGCAGATTTGAAATCAACGCGAAAAATGTTCTAACTTATAAATTATAACTCAACTTTATATTATAAAACAACATCTCAAGTTAGAAAAAATACCTTAATAGTCCAGCCTAAATTTAAAAAAAAATATGACTGATATTTTGTTTGATAGTTAATTAAATTTATTTTTGACCAAATTTAAATATGAGACATGTTAAAATTTAGTCTATTGACTGTGATAAATGTTCAAAAACCCAACCCTATGTTAAAAGCATAATTTTTATTATTTATTTCTAATAAAATAAAAATAATGATAGTTATTTTTTAAAATATCAATGTAGCGTTTTTTTAGAAATTTTCTGTAAGAATAAGACTAAAAATTGTTAAAATTAAAAAAAAATTGATTTATAAAAAATGTTATTTCTTTTTCTTATGAGAGACGAGTAACAATATTAACATACCCTAAAAATGTAAAAAATGTTTAAAATAATTTTCAGAAAAATTATATTGGATTAAAAATTATTGTATTTGTCATATCTTCGTGACTCGCCTGTGTAAATTTAATTACAATATATATTAGAAAATGATCTAGTCAAGAAAATTACTAATCAATATTAGCTTTTGGCTCATTTTTATCTATAAAATGGTATTAATCATAAAGGTTATATAAAGGATAAATTTATAGTTATATTTTTTATTTTAGGCAGCTTCAGCTTCATGCACTCACCAAGTATGTATGGGTAGTGTAATGTACCCAATATCATATCCAAATTCATTAGTCAAACCAAAACACGAAGTATTGAAATTAGCAGATGATTTTTTAAATCAATATTTTGCTTCAATTAAAAGGTGAGATTTTATTTCTATTTTTTAGGATTTAACTAATAATATATGATTTCTTCATTAAATTATTTTTATTTTGGTTAATTAATTAGAAAACATTTTTATATTGACTAGGCCAGACCAACTCTTACCTTAAAAATATTATATAAATATTAAATAACTAAATTCCAATCCCATTTATTAAGTCAAGAGACAAAATCAATTATAAAAAATAAAAGTTTATTTATTATAAATATGTTTACGAAGGGTATTAAGATAAACTAGTATCAATAAAATACATACAATAAATTCAAATTAAATCATCGCTATACGATTGTTTTTAATAAAATTTAAATACTGACTATTAAAAACCAACAAAATTAAATAATACCCTTTTAACTGCATGACTTCCATACAATTCAACATGGTTCAAAATCATAAAATAACCCAGATTTTTCTAAACGTCTATATATAACCATTTTAATCAACATTTTTTTCGTACTGTGGTAAAATATAGTGGCTAACTTATCTTAACTTATAATGTACAATTAAATAATCAACTAACGCTTGAAATCGAAATAATTTCTGTACTCCAAGATAAAATTTGATACTGAGTAAATGTATATAAAATTTAAGTTTAAATTTAACTATTCTTATTTACTTGTTATTAAATCTTAAGTATTGAGATCGATTTTACAAACGTTAAATTCAATTCACGAAATTTCAAATTTAATTACACCAAAAATAACTAATGAATTAATGAATGATTTTAAGCGTTTGTATTTTAGTTCTTTACGTAGTATACAAAAAACGTATCCGGCTCCTACTTTTCAAAAAGACATGAATTCTCATTGTAAACATAGCCATAGAAGAATTTAGAGGTGAAGCGTTAAAAAAATAATTAATTGATACAAATATAATAATTATATTTATATTTCAACTAAACGTCCTTACGTGTTTAGGAAAAGATGAATTTTTAATATGTAAGAAAAAATTATTGAAGTGACAAATATAAAAAAGCGACCAACAGATTTTTTTTTTCACGTGATATATTATTTTGGTTTTTTTGTAAGAAAAACATCGAGTTCAACCCACCAAATTCAAATAAGATTTTTGAAAAATTTGTTCATGTTTTCCCATTTACGTTTTCAATTAGCAGATTGACAATTTAAAATTCTTATGTGATTAAAAACGATCGTTCATAATAATGTTTTAGAAATCACAGTTAACAATTATTAAAAAAAAAGACAGAATCGAGGATTGATTTATTATCTTTCTTCATTTTCTATTTGAATCCCCTGAAGTATCTGTATTCATAGGTGCAATAAAATCAGATGACTTAGGTAGTTCAATATATGGTAGGCCCTTTACTTAATTACCCAGATCGGTGTAAGACGAAAATATATGTTTTTGTAGCACTGTGTGGCTTCAAAAACATTTAAAACATTTTATGACACTAATAAAATCATTCAGTACACTGGGGTTTTGTGTTTAATCGGATCCGTATGTATCTATGTTTTTATACACCTCCGGTTTCGATTTGCAAAGAATATCAATAGTGATGGTAAACTACTATTCACTTATTTGATTGAAAATATATAGAGTATTTATATTAACATTCTTACCATTAATATAAAAAAGAACACTAAACCATTGACGATAATACACCATCAATATGTATAGACATCGAATGATCATAGTGAAACAATATTAGAGTAATTCCATCTTCTTTGCATGTAGCATTAAAAATGTTTACTCAGTTGGCCAAAAATTTTGATTGAATAGAAAAATTTTCTAATGCTTAATATATATATTCAATAAAAATCTATCTATGAAAAATGGCTAAGTCACACCCTCCCAAAAAAGTCCGCCCATCAAAGTAATGATGAAATCTATATTGTGGCCAAGTATGCTCTTTCTTTAGTTCGTAAACATCTATTCTAATATTATTAGCAACATTGCTACTTTAATGTATTTCTTAATTCATGGCCAGTATCTGATCAAGTACTCATTTAAGAATTAGTTGGGAAATGGGAAAAAAAAATTTTTTAGATCCCTTTGCGGCATTCAATGAAAATTGCGACGAAATTTATTTCATACCTTATTCAAATACTGAACAAATATTAAGCAAATCTAATAAAGGAGCAATGTTGCTTATGACAATAGGATCGAGTTTTATAAACTAAAGAAATAGCAAACTCAGCCACTATGTAGAAATTACTATATTGATAGACGGACTCATTTGGCGGGGGTGGAAATTGGAATTAGACCCTTTTTGTATAAAGATACACAATTATTACAACTTACCTTTGTGCAGTATCGTGCTTTCAAATTCTTTTACTGCATTAAAACAAATTATACTTGTATAAAAACAATAATTTAAGTTTATGGACATTCCACTGAAGAAAATAATTTTAATGTTCATCTTTTTACGGGGAATTTGTTGTAGATTAAATTATAACTTAAAGATAATCCACACTTAATAATTTATTTTTATGAAAAAATCATATTGAACATTTTTACTCTCGATGTGTTTTTAATATAGAATAAAATTTTCAACTATTTTATCAAATTCCAAAATAAAATGACGTCTGATATACATCGTTGAATTATAAAGTTCAAAAAAGTTATTTCGCATAATTTCTGTTTCACAATTATTTATTTTTAGTTATTATTTTTACACAGTTACATTATTAACATTTAATTAATTGATGCACAATAAAAGCCACTTGTGAGTATTTGTACTCGAAGTAAAATTTGTTTGTTTTATCAAGTTAATGTTTATGATTGTCCTTGTAAACTCAAGAGGACTTGGTAAATAATTTTATGAAACTGGCATTTTTAAAAACTCTTTTTGTTAAAGCAACATTTATTATTAGGCTACTAATGAAAATACTTTTTATTCAATTTTAAACAATAAAAACTTGACCAATAATGTTACAATAATACAATATTTATCAGGTACATGTAAAAGTAAGCTTTTATGTCAGTAATTTTAAAATACACCTGAAAACCTCACTTTGCCCAGTTTTGATAAAAAATAAAAAAAAATCATAAATAATAAAAGTATTTTTATTACCTTAACTTGTACTGCAAATAAAAACTATTCTCAGCTGGTATACTATTTTTATGAATGAATACAAACCAAGTAAACAATAAAAATATAAAGAGTAAAATCTTTTGACTGACTTGGTATCTTTTTATGAAGTTTTCTGATGATTTTCTGCCTGATATACAGAATACATAATTAACGTTCAAAATTTTAATATTCATAAAAATATAATCATCGGAATCATCTACGGTCGTTTTATAAAAAGCAAACATATAATAATATAACAATTATAAAAAATAACACACTTCATTGACAATTTTGATTAAAATGGTGTCTTTATAATTTTCATACTAATTTTTAACTGTTTATATTATTTTGATTACAATAAGCCGTCTCATTAAGAATACATAAAGAATTGTATGAACATTAATTGCCATTTATTTTGTTTATTATTATGATTATTCAATCAGAAGTATTAATATCTTTAGTAGTTAATATTCTTATTATCAAATAATTTCCTTCAATAGTTTGTCCTTTTGACATAATAAATTTAAAAATAATTATAAACATAAGAACTTAAAGCTAGTAATAATTCTATAATATATTTATATATTTTAATTTGTCTATTTAAAAAATGATAATTTTTTTAAATTTCAATTAATTTCATCTGTATACAAATTATAATGTATAACTGTATTATCGCGGCTTGTCAAGTTGATTTGGCCTAATATGTGAGCTTATCGCAAAAGCGAACAAGTCGCGTCTCTGTGGAATATATAAAATATTAATGTCAAATTAAAACAAATTGATCGGTATAGTTTCTCACTATTCATATATCAAACAAATAAATAAGACATTTAGTCACAATTTCACAACATTTTCTATGCCCGTCTTATAATATAGATAATCTCTTTTATTTTTGTAATTTCTTTTAAACGATTAAGTGACTCAACTTTTTATTTAAGTATATTCTTCAAATATGTTGACGTCGATATAATAAAGTATACTTATACACATCAAATAATTTCCCCAACATGAACAGCCATAAGTTTTCTGTGATGCTTTTCATTGTTATTTAAATATTTCCACATCAAATATTCTCATTCTAAAATTATTTACAAAAAATGTGTCGAATAAAATTACAACATTTATGTTTTAATTACTTTTATAGGCTTTTAACACAACATTATGTACAACGTAAAAGAAGTTGCATTGTTTCCATTAGACATTAAATCGACCAAATTAGCATATTTAAAGGCTAACACATCATTATTTGTAGAAATATAGAATGAATAAGTATACATTTTTGGATATTTTACTCTGTAAATACATTAACAAATCAAGTCGCCCGGTTCACTTTGTACTTATTTTGCTGATGCTGAGTCATCACAATAATATCGTTTTTTCCCCATAAAACAACTTCAAAATGCTAACCAAATCTTACATAAAACCGATGCCCAGATATTAGCCAGAACTTTAACCTGAAACAAAATGATGAAAACGTTAATTAAATTCCAAACATGTTTGAAACGTATAAACATTACAAAAGCACCCGATATTGATATTTATAAATATTAATGTAGTACGCAATGTGGTGCTACTTTGAGTGTATAACAGTTATTCTTAGTATATTATCACCGAGTTTTGTACGGAAAACGAGGCCGATTAGCTAAAAGTTTACGTGCTTCCATCCGTTACCAAACAGATTGGCAATGCAAAAACTTGGTCGTTACTGCCAATGACAGGTGCGAGGAAACACTAGCACCCGAGTGTAAATTTTGGCTCGTCCTTAACGTGACGTTTTAGAGAATCGCACAGTCCCAGAAAACCAAAGCTCACTAATATGACACTATCTAATAATGTGATAGGTGGAAAACTTCCTAGGCTAAAACAATCATTAAAACAGGTTAATGTACACTAACTCGCATACTAAATAGGTAACCGCGTAACTGATGAATCATTCTAGCGCGTTAACGCGTGTGCAAAGGGAAATGTATTCCAGGTTCAATAGTTAAAGAGCGGAAATGAAACGTAAATGGCCGGAACGTTTTGGCGAAAAGTTTGTAGAAAAGGTATTTTTTTCCTTTTACAACCTTCCAGCAAACACACCGACTGTTTAGTTCTGTATTTAACTCGACGTTTTCCGAATTCGCATGATTAAAGAAGTTTTATATTGATCAGTGAAGCATAGTTTAAACACTTTATTTTGAATATCTGAAATTTAATTACACAGAAATGACTAACACGGATAGCAGGAATTTTAAGAGGTGTAAATACACTTTGAAAAACATTTTACAAGTCTCGTTGTTTTTTAATTTATTTATAAAACAATATAATCATAATAGAAAACGTTTTGGTAAAATATTACTTTCAATAGAAACTTTTTTTCGCAGTATACATTCGTTTATATTTAAAATAATTCATTGCAATAAAAATTAGAAACAAAATTATAGTTCAATTAGAATTGTTAAACATCTTCGTATTCGTGTGTAATTTGCCAATTTTTATTATCGTTTAATTTCAAATTCTTGTCAACTAAGCTGTCATTATTAATCACGTCTTTTTCAGATCAAACATGAATGATAAGATTTCGCTCGATCGAAATTATAAAGGTTACTATATTAAACTTAATGTAAATAAATATTCGTTCAATTTGGCACATGCTGTAGGCAAACTACATTGTTAGCTTTCATGATATGGGTCTGCTTGATAGTAGAAAATGTTTATAGTACAGTTTATACAAAATGGTCCTAGACGAATACCACTTTGTTTAGTACTTAAATAAAACTATATTCCATAGCAGACATTGACCATTATCTCAGATCAAGTCAAGCTTAAGTTTATAAGTGCATTATGCGTTATACTTCGATATTCATTATCCATTTAAGCTGCACATTAAATAAATAGCAAATTTATAAAATGTCTAAGAAAATTCATTGCGGTCTACATTAAACTTTTAAAAAGTAGTAATTATTATACAATGAAGTTTTATTTTTATATCGTAAAGTGGTCAAATTTCTAGTATAATCATAATTATTTTTTTATCTATCGTAAATAATTGTTTTTGTTAATTAGATATGATTTCCTTTGAATTTATTAAAAAAATATTGAATTAAAATTTTCAATTTTTATTGTTATAACTATTTTAAAATTAACATATCTACCATTAATTTCAACACTTGCAGTTAAAATAAAGTCAATAAGTATAAATTTCTTAAGGTATCTAGAAAATATTAATAATCCTAAATTTGTACAAAAAGTTATTATTGTACAATAATAAATGAATCCATAGTACAATAAGTGATGTGATAGCTTTTGTAAATAGTAGAATTGAAAACCTCCTCGTAAAGAAGAAAGGAATTTCTGTTAATAAGAATGTATATTACCACTCACAAAGACTAATAGTAGCTACGAATAATCCACATCATATCATCATGCTTAATAATGGTGACAACGTGTGTATTGTTATGTTATTTTATGGACAAACTACACGTTTTGATGAGTTACAACGTACAGTATGACTAATTACTAAGAAGACTATAATTTAACCAAACTGAGATTCATAAAAAAAAAACAAATATGTCCCGACTATTGTACAAATAAAAATTATTGTTTAAATAAGATAAATTTGTTAGTGTTTTACTATCAAATATTAAATAGGATTCGGAAATATTTTAGGTAGAAGATCAATGTATTGTAAAAAGGTGAGTTTATATTAGATTTATTTATTTATAGTATTGAATATTATGTGAACTTAATAAATTACTTTGATATTATCGTCAACTTTTTAAAACTCGTTTAGTATATTTAAAAGACGCAGTATACTTTGAATTTCAACAATAATTTCTTAAGTTTTTTTAACTTGAGTCTAACTTGGCTCGCATCCATGCATTATTGTGAATTTTTGTCATATTTTAAAACTACCAGCGCTCATTTAAGCAAATATTTTATATACGTAAAGATAATTTCTTATTAAAAAAAAAAAAAATCATAGCTACTTAATCATTGATGAAATTGTTAAACCAATATCTATGTACGTCTCAGTGCACTATTTAACATTTTAGTATTAATAATAAAAAAAAAGTTATATGCTAATTTTAATACAGTCGATGTAATAATTGAAAAAAATAATTTTACGATTTCTTCTGGATAGTTATAACAATATAATGTTTAAAATCATAAAAATGTGTGTTAAAAGATATACCAAGATATTTTGTAATATTTTATTTGTCTTCTATGCAAGACTAAAATGTTTTTAATTTATAACTTTATTTCGTGTTAGCGAATTAATTATTATAACTTTGTAAGAAAAATGATCTCATTCGCATGACTTCACATTAAACTTTGAAGCAGTCAGCACTTTAATAACTATCAACTCTTTTACTAACCTCTAACTCTCAAATGGCAAAATCAAACACTTGTATAATTCAATTACTTTTTCTTTCGCAGTATTTTATTTGATCAATAAAACTGGAAATTGGGTTAATATTTGGCTTTTAGTCGAAATTCTACTGTTATTATATTATACATTCAAAAATTTATACATTATAAAATAAAGTCACATATAAGAGGAGTATTTCATACTTAGCAATATATCATTATTACAGATCCAATAGTCCAGCACATACTGCAAGATGGGAACAAGTTCAACAAGAAGTCCTTTCAACTGGAACTTATCAACTTACAGAAACTGAACTAGTTTTTGGTGCTAAATTAGCCTGGAGAAATGCATCCAGATGTATAGGCCGTATCCAATGGGCAAAATTACAAGTAATTATGGATTCATTATGAACCCTTGGTTCAATTTTTAACTTATCATAACGTTATTAGCTTGATTTATTCAAGAAAATTTTAGCAAAAAAATTTTATCAATTTTTTATTTAACCAGTTAAACTATTACATTGTTAAAAATATTATAAAATGTATAAATTTTCATTAATGCTATAAATAATTTTCTACTCATATATAATAAAAAAAATAAAATTGTGTAAATCATCTATGTTCATTGAAAAAAAACTAGATTTTTTAGTCTAATGAATATCATAAACCTGAAAAACATAACAAATCCAAGCTTTTAAATAATAAAGATATATAAAATTTTAAAAGTTTTAAAATTCAACGAATATCATAATTGTTCAGGTCTATTTCGAATGTATAAGATGGTTAGAGTCTAGAAGTCAGTCCATTAACTTTTGGTGGAGGTAAAATCATTTACATTTACTGAAACTAAAACTGGATTTTCAGTAGAGTGAATTTATCTAATGACTTAGTGTATTTTCTGAGGTAATTCTGATTATTTTTTTAATTTTAACAAAAAAATAAACAATTTTGAAATTTGTACTTGGGCATTTGAGTTGAATTAAAACGTAAACACCTTTTTTTTTATTTTCTAGGAATATTAAACTTAGGCTCAGTTTTGTCATTAACATTTTTATTTTTAAGTTTCTTAAGATATGTATTTTTTACTTTCAGTTTGTGGTAAGTGTAATAGAATTTTTATTTTTCAAATTAATATTTTCTTTAATCTTTAGTTGTTCTGATGTGTCTATTAGTACTGGCCTTTTTATTTTTTTTCCTTTAATTTGCATTTCTTTCTTGATGTATTTTAGAGTATGATCTCATTATTTCAGAACTAATAAAATTCGATAAACTTGCTTCTTGAATATGAATTAATTAAGGTGAGATCTACTTTTTATTAACTTCAGTGATATTAGTTGCTGACAATTCATTAACAGCAATAAATAACTTAGATTATGATGTTTAAATACAATTTTCATAATTTCTATTAAAATATACAATCATGAGCAGCACATACAACAAAATCATCATCACTTGAAAAAATGTTTTCGTCAAAAGAAAATATTCCAATTCCAAAATTTTTATAGTTTACATTGGAAATACAAATGCACGAGTACTGTTTTTCCAAATGAGTTAATAATACAGAAAGCAATTACAAGAACTCGCTAGTAGTTATATGATAAAGTCTCTTCATACCTTTCTGTGCAATAACTTTACAAGGTGATAAATTAGTATTGACTAGAATACCAGTTGTGAATCGAGATTGATATTCTAGATCCATCACGGAGTGCTAGATATCTGTTCACAATATTTGCATAATATGACTAAATTACGTTTGTTTTTTTTTTATATCTTTTATTATATACATATTATAGCTAAACAACTAAATAACATTTAATTTATATTTCACGATGCTCGATTTTTTTCAATATACTCGCTCTCTACAATCTTTTACTTATCTTAAATGAATTTTTTTGACTGACCAGATAGAACAATAATTTGATACAATACTGGTTTTGAAATTTCTTAGAAAGTATTTAGTTTATACATCACATTATGATAATAAAATATTCCTATTGTGTTTATTACTCTAAACTTTGCTGCGTGCTAACACTATTTAAGAAACACACACTCCACTCACACATCCTAGCGCATGGTATTATCTGTTATGTTTAAATGTGGAATGGTGAAGTATCCATCATTATCGAAAAGTTATGTATAATTATAATGCAGTTATTTGAGTTTGGGTATAAGACTACTTTGATTTAAGTTCATTGTTATGTATGTTATTTATATTTACTGTTTATAACAAGTAAAAATCTATCATACATTTACAAATAAAGACAATATATACAAGAACAAATAATTTAATTATAATTTTCGTGTTAATGTATTTTACAAATTAAATATAACGAGAAAGAAAATGCCATATGCAAACGTAGCAAAAAATGGATTATGTGTCTTCCTACTTACAACAATTATTATATTGATCTTATTATAATTATAAAAAAGGGTCTTCTTTAACCATTAGAGAAGAAATAGGAAAATCACTTAAATGATATTATTTGAGAATATATTAAACGAGATAAGGTATATCTTACCTGTGATAAGAAAGGAAAAATGTATTAACTTATACTTTGATTTTTCACCTATGTAACAATGATAATTCCGTTTAGAGCTAACCATGTTACCAACTTTTTATTGTTAAATAATTTAATACTCCTTAAAGTATATGTTACTAAAAAGTATGAATATAGGCTTCTATCTCCACTATTTTTTTTATTAATTAACGTCACTTTTTTTAAATTAATTCAGTTTTTAACATAAATATAATCCTAAAGAATCCTTTAAAAACTTTTTAAAAATTCATTGATTTTATATTTAGCTGGATTTTACACGTTCTCTCGTGTAAACATCAATTAAACCTAATTTTCTTTTTTTGTTGACTCCGCCGTTCTTAATATAAGTGTTGACATTTCTATAGAAGACAAATTATGAAATTCTGTTATTAAAAAAATAAAATACTAAATTAATTTCTATGTTAAAATTATTAAAACACTTGGTTCACAATAAAAAAAATAATTGTATAATATATAAATTATTTGTTCTCCTGTAGGAAAAGTCTCGTCATGTTATTATAAGTCCTTATTTAATTTTATCAACAACCACCAATAGCTCTCTGTTCTAACATAAACAGGTAATTTTCTTTTTATCAATTTAATTTTGTGATTTATCACATACAAATTTACATCTATCTTTTATTAATTTTAACCTATACGTGCAAGTTTTACATTTTATATACTAGTGTATATATATATATGTAGATACCTTTTGACATAAATCCATTGAGTATTCACTAGAGGTTGACAAAAAAAAAATGTCTGAATGTCTATTGATAAGTAGGTTGTCAATTGCTACCACGAGAAAAGCATTTATAATCTCGATTCGACATATTGTAAAATGGATTGAATTATTCGTATGTAAGACACAAAAAATTGTACTAAAAAGCGCATTTGTGATTTATTGTTAGACTTTTAGGTATATTTTATTATATATTAAAATAGGTAACAAACATTTCTGTTAATCTACTCATCATACATACAATGAAATATCTTGAATAAATGCAGCTCACCATCATCTGATACTACCTTTGTTTAACTTCAAAGCTACATAAATATTTTTTAAACAATACGATTATAAATGACACAACATTAGTATACTGAAATTTAGAAAATTTTAAGTTCACACTTATAGTATGTTTCTTTATATAGAATATTTGTTTCTAATTAACTATTAACCAATTAATTGATTGTGTAATATTTTATATAATTTTTTTATAGGTGTTCGATTGTCGATCAGTGACCACTACGAGTAGTATGTTTGAAGCCATTTGCAATCACATCAAATACAGTACCAACAAGGGCAATATAAGGTAATTTCATTAAGAACAGAAAATAATTAGTATTTAGAATTACTCGTAAATTAACTATCCATTCTTATAGTATTTGCATATATAAAGTATTTTCTGCAACCGAAGGATCTGTTTGGTCTTTACTTCTCAATATCTTTACCCTTTTTATGAATAGTATTTATTGTTGTTGTTGATAATAATAGCAATAGAAGTGGAAGTGATAGTGGCGGGTATGGTACCGACATCGGTTACGTATAAATAGCATCGTCAAGTAGTCCGATTTGAGCTCGCGTTGAATAATATAATTTGCATACGCACTGGGGATACCTTTCTCATCATCCAAATCTACATCGATAGAATTTAATTTTAGAAGTTTGATTAAACTGTCAGCTATTAATTGGTTGTGAACTGCCGATAAATCCGACGATTTTATATCTGGTTATTTCATTACGACTTAATCGTTCATCCGTACCAACTTTGCTACGAGAGCCAATTTTTTAATTAGTAACGTTACTATTTACTTAATCATTTATTTATTTTACCTACTAATTCCACGTTGTTATTAAAAGGTAAAAAAATATTTGCTTACTTAAAATATATACATTTTTACATGAAAACTGCTCGAAAATCTCGTTCAAAATATTTGATTTTGTTTTTTTTTTTTTTGTGATTTATATTTAACATTCTCTTTTGGTAATATGTAAAGAGAACAGAAAAACATGTACACAGTTATAATCCTTGAATGAAAAATTCTGTAAGAAAAAGCGAACATTTTGTTTTCACAAAGTATAATAAGTTAGATGGTATTTAATTTTCAGCACCTGTACAAATTTAGGCGTTGACTTTTTACGGTATTAACATATAAAGAAAAATGTGTTTTTAACTTCTCATACCAAATCTGAATTGTGTCTGATTCATAAAACTAAAAAATGTTACATAAAAAAAATATATTCGTTCAGAAACAATAGACATTTATATGAAACAAAAATTTAGTTCATAATGATGAACTTCGAGTTAAACAAACTTTAATTAAATATTATTATTATTATAACTATAATTATTAATAGTAATTGCTTTGAAAGAGTTCGAATTGATTTTTAAAAATAATAAATACTTATGATAATAAAAGTAAGAATCATAATATTTTCCTTTCATTCATCACTTAAATTTTAATACGTTATTTTTTTTAAATAAGTTACAATTTTTTATTATTTGGTCTTATCATAATAGTGATAACTTAAAATAATTATGAACTTTTTAAATTTAATTATTCATATAACATACTTTTATTTTAAGATATTGCTTTTTAAAGAAATCATGAAATAAATTTTTAAATAAAGTCTGAAATATTATTGTGATATAAATGTACAGAGTGATTTTTTTTTAAGAGTTCGTTATAGTAAAAAAATTTTTCTCTATAATTTACTACAACACAGAACACTAAAATGACTATTTTAACTGTATATTTTGTTGAAAATAAGATTATAATTATTTCTTTAGTTATTATCTAAAAACTAACGTTAATTTAAGCAATTTTTCAAGAAAGCAAAAATAAATTTAAAATTGCAATAATGTTATATGTAAATCGTCATTATTGAAATGAATTAAAATAAACCAATCGGTAGAATTAAATCGTAGTTTTTTGTCTACAACAGAAAACATATTTTATACAAATAAAAAAGAATAAAGAACCGTAGGCATCTAGTAAAATGAAGTTGAGACATTTTTTACATTAGTATTGATTGATATCTGACAGTGGTTAAAATTACTGTTGTAAAACACTTCCATGCGGATTTAAAACATAAAAAATTAAATTAACATATCTACCACAAAGTACATGATTTTTAACTTTAAAGATTTATTATTCATAAAGGAAGTCTTCGGAACGTTTTCTTTTTTTATTCATATATTACATTAAACAAGCTTTAATTTGGAAAAAAAATAAATTATAAAAGTATACCGTAACTAAGAAAAAGATTACAAAATTGGCAATTTTGTCCGAAAACTATTATTTTTAGATTAATGTACAATAACTCCTAGAAACTTTGATTTTGGAGAGTTTTTATTTTTTCTATTATAAGTACATTTTATTATCATTAATTTAATGTAGATCTAAAGAATTCAAGTTTTTTAGAACACTATAAAAATTAAAAATTTAATTTAATATAATAATTATGTTCTTACTCAGTAGATTGGTAAATTATAGTATTTTTCTGAAATATGGTCACTGTAAATTATATTTTGATGCATGCATTATTCAAATAGGGAAATTAAAAAAAACTATTATTTATTCAACAAAAAGTTTATTAGACGTATTTTTATAATGCATTTGTTGATTTTACCTGAGGTTTTTTAGTGTTTTTAACGACTTAAGAAGCTGATTACTTATAAAAGACATATCTTCGGAAAGTCGTTTTTAATTATATAGTACTGGATAAAACATTAATGTAGTTTTATATGATGTAGATATTCTGTTGCTATGCAAATCACTTCCAAATAGGCCATTTTTACTAAAAATTGTATAAATTTTGGCTTTTGTTCTTGATATCTCATAGAAATAAAAATTTTGAATAGTTTTATTTTTTCATCTTATCAACACTGGGCACATTTAAATGTGGGCTAGACTATAATTTATTAAAAAAACTAATTGTAGTTAAAAATTAATTATCTTTACATAAAATAAACATTTTAAATGTTGGGTTCAGGATGACCAATCTTTTGTATTTTATGTCAACTTAATTTATTGCCACACTAGTTTTATTTAATCAATTCAAAGGTGCTCCAGTCTCAAAGTAAAAGCAATAACTTCTCAGCTACGCATAGAAACTAAGAATTCCAAAACTCATACATATAATTGTTACTATTATTATTAGAATGTTAGAAAAATGATAACGCAATATCGTTTTTATAATAAATAATTTAAAAACCTGATAGATTTTTTTTTTAACCAAAATTTCCATACATATACATGTCATTATATTTTTTTCAATAAAAATTACTAACATATATTTTAACAATAATTACAAATATTCACATGCTATAACTTTTAATGATAAGTTAAAACACATTTAATTTCCGGTTTGACAGTAATTATTCAAAACTAAATATATATATATATATAATACCGGCGCTTATGTAGGTGAATTGAGTAAAGTTATAACCGTAGAATGCGCAATAAACTAAGATATGAAGTTCAAAAACACTATCAAAACTGATCATTAGTGAACCAGAAAACATAAACCAGAAAGATTTAGTTAAAGAAAGAGGAAGTTATTATAATTCTCAGTATTGATAAGGCAGTTAAACTTAGTACGTAATTGCTATTTAAAACCATTAATGGTTCAAAATTTAAAAATCCTGATGAACTTATTTTAATTAATATGGCAAATAAATCTGAATTTCGTGATTTTATCATGTTATAATTTTATATCTTAAAAGTCGTAAAATGTTTGCAATATTTACCAAACAATAAGGAAAAATCATTTGAGTATTAAAGTAGTGTAGTTGAATTCGAAGAGTTGTAAATAGTGATGGCTTAAAGATTTGTCATTCTTTATTCTGCTTAAAAAGTTTTTGAAAAAAGTTAAAAGTTGAAACATTCATTTTTTAAATTCTTAAAGGTAAGTCTTTAAGTACAATAGAGAGAACTCGTATTCTTATGGTTAAAAGGATTAACTAGACTTTTTCAGAATAAGTAAATGTTTTTATGTATTGTAATATTGTATGATAAAATTTCGAGTTACTACTAACATATTAACTATTTTAATAAGAGAAACGTATAAATTACAATGTTTTTTATTTACTATGTAATAAACCCTTAAAACTACCAAATGTATAATACAGATTTAAAAACTAAAATGAAAAAATAGAAGTTGAAAGCTAACGATTGAATTTTTAAAATTAATTAAAAAATATAATTTCTCTAATAAAACAATAATTAAACTAATTCAACGTTTGAGCTTAAGTTTACTACATTAAAAAACAAGTTTGAACTATAAATTATTCTTAATTGCGACTAAATTTTTAGAAGAATTCATTGTTTTTTTACTTAGAAATTATTCTATTACTTTGCTTTTCTAAAATTTGAGTTCAGCTACTTAGACAAGTTTTTAAACACATCTAACAAATTTGTAGTAAGACCCATTTTCTTTTTATATTTCTTCTATTTATTTCCTTTCGGTATCATTGAGTTATCTTCTTACACTTCACCAATCTTACTTGCAATTCTTTTCAATTCATAATTCAAACCATCCAATTGATAGAAGTAGATACATAACAAGAATTGACAATGCGGTTTTTCCCTAATTTCCGTATTCTCTAATTACGCTATTAACCTAAGGTTCCTATTACACCTTATATCTATTGTACTACTGAAAGTGTTCCTTCAGATTATTTTAAAATTTACATCAAAATATACAAAAAAAAAACACTGTGTTTTTTTCAGTATTTTTCGAAATATAGCTAGGACAAGTATAGATAAAATCTGATAATAATTCACATCAATATCATAAATACACTTCAATTTGAATTTGGTTAATTTCACAATAATTTATATATCTGTAATTTTACAATTGCTTTAAAGTAATGTTTTGTTTAAATGTTTTCGATAGTTGAATTAAAAAAAGAATTTTATATGCATAGGAGATATCTTTAAAACCTCTTATGTACTTATACTTCATGGAATTTTCACAAAAATTATGTAAACTTAGCGCCTCATTTTTATTTTTGTATTTAAATTTCCATTAAGATCAGTATTTAAACAAAAAGTAATGGCAATTTTTCAAATTCAGAAAAAGTAATTGAAAATTATCATGTGTTACGGTATTGTAAATGAGATATTTCTAAATGTCTAAAATTAAGAGGGTTTTCCATTTTTCGGCGACCATTAGTTCAACTAGATTAAAATCGGGTTCTTTTGTCGTATCATTACATTCGGTCCAGTGAGAGCTGAGAATTTTCATGGACAGTCATAAAAAAAACGTCATGTCAATGGATAGACTAAAAACAATCTTCTCAGCTTCACTTCGATGTTAAAAAGTACATAACACTTCATCTAACTAGTTTATATTTGATAAAATACACGTATTAAACATTTAGCACTACGATTACTCTATTGTAGTCACTAAAAATTGACAAATTTTGAGTAATACATATTTTCTTATAGTAAAAATGACGCTCACTACAAAGCAATATCGTATTATGTCGTATTTATAAAATGGAATGCTTTATACTAAATTATACTGTTTATCAATCACGGTTAACGTTTTTTTTATAGTTAATACGGTAGTCATATTTTGAGTTGTTATTACAGTGTGATATTTTTACTTATTTTGAGAACTAAAGAATAATTTGTTAATTAATTATTAATTATTCTCCATTCTTGTTTTACAGATCAGCAATAACTGTATTTCAGCAAAGGACTGATGGTCGCCATGATTTTAGAGTTTGGAATGCACAACTAATTTCCTACGCTGGATACAAACAACCTGACGGAACGTTTATAGGTGATCCTATGAACGCAGAATTCACCGAGGTCAGTAAAAACAACTCATGTTAAGAGAAAATTATTATTTAGAAACGACTATAAATATCAAATTATATTAAAAAAATAAACACCAAAAGTTTAACCAACAGGCCTTATCACGAATCTGTGAAAACTTTTTTTAAGTAACTAAATTTAAAATGTACAGTACTCTTACACCGCATTAAAAAAAAAAGATAAATAAGTTTAAATCTGATTTAGTTCAAAACCAAACAACTTTAAATTCAACTAACGATGTAATATAACAGATTTTACTAGAAAAAACTATGAAATCTCTTGTTGAAAATCAATTCGAACATATTTTTTTTATAAATGAGAAGTTAACATAATATTTGTGCAAATCTAAAATAACAAATAAAAGTTTTTTCTTATCAAAAAAGTTACTATAATTTCTTATATTCTTTAAATGCGTGTAACCACATGTCATTTCTAACAATGACCATTGTTAGTAACAGATAAATAGAAATAAATTTTATAAAAAGAGAAAATACATGATAAATAAGCTGGCTTATTCAATAACCGTACCTTTCATTTTAATGAATGAGTCGTATAAGCGTAATATGAAAGTGATCAATTTTTTTATAAAAAATATTTTTATAAATTAAAAATGCAAAACTTATTGTAATAAAATAAAAGATCAAATAAATATTTACTTTAAATTAAAAGGGATATCAGCTTTATAAATAACGATATAAATTACTTTTTTCGATGATTTTGTTCTGTATTTTATTTTAAGGACATATTTTTTGAAACTGTATTTGAAGAAACTTTATTTTATGATTTACTGCCAAATAAGTAACCTTACTTATGATTACGTTTGTAAAATGAATGTATCATTTGCCATATAATTAAAAAAGATAAAATTTCTTATGTAATAAACATCTTATTTATTACAATAACAAAGATAAATATATAGTAAGTGTAGTTTTAATTAAAATTTAATTTGCAATTTTTGTGATTTTAAACTAAGTATAATTTATAATCATTTAGAAATATTACGTAATTTTGAAACTTTAAAGAAGTTCGACTACTTAATTACTAATCTAAAAACAAATAATAACAATTTATGGCTTTATATATTTAGCCTTTAATAAGATTTATCAACAAAATTATTTTAAGTATAATTTTATATTAATAAGTTTCAAAGAACTAATTTATAAGAATTATTAGTAAAATTTTGCTTTGAAGTCCAATTAAGCCTGTGAAGAAAAGTTAATTTTTCTTAAATATCATTAAATTTTTGTAAAAATTTTTATTTATATAACACTTAAAATAATTTAATTAAAAGTAAAGCCCTATAGTAACGCTCTAAGTTATAAACAAAATTATAAATAATTTGTCAAATTTACTTAACAAAATATTATTTATAAGACTTCAATATTAATTAACCTAACAAAATAATTTAATTGAAATTAATTCTACCTGTTATGATAACTAACAAATAATTATGCATTTTTAATGAGGAAAAGTTAACAAACGATAATATGCACTTTAAAGTTATAATGACTTAAATCAAATATAGTTTCTTTATTTGAGATAATGTTCAATGGAAATTGTTGATTCATAAGTTACTGACAGTGTTTCTTAACCATTTAATCACTGGCTATTCAATTTTTTAGTAACTCTTATCATAGGCACAATCATTTTGAATTATGTCTTGACGACCATGAACAAACAGTTGCGACCTCCAAGAAGATCGCGATTTTTTTATTGAGAAACATTGAACTAATCTATATACAGTTGATATTTTTTATAATATTGAAGTATGGTATACAGAGTGTTCAATATGTTCGGAAACAGATTTTTTAAAGCCGCTATTGATTTTTTTAATAATTTTTTTTTTAGAGTCTAATTGAATAATTAGATGCATCTTTTACGATTAATATTAAAGTTTAAAATGTAGAAATCTACCCTAACTTAAGAAATATAAATGGCAACCATTACTTTTTTTTTAAATTTTCGGTTAGGTAATTTTATTCAAAACAAAAATACTTTTAAAATTTTAAAATTGGACAAGTCATTTTTGAGATTTTGTTGTTTAAAAGCATCAATTTTGAGTTTGGAAGCACAGTTTGCCACAGTAAACACTAATCAATGTGTAATTCCGTAAACACAATAATCATAAATTGCCTGATTATTGTTACTTGATTTATCTTAATAATCATTTTTGAGTATGAAACGATCAATTAATATTGTTAAATTGGTATTGTACCTTATCAATGGAATTATTAAATATCAATAAAAATATGATTTACAATAATTGTAAATTATTTCATTTTCTTCATGTTTACAAGTGAAAGTAGATTGTTGTTGAAAAACATGTGTTATCTCATCAAATATTATAGTCAATTATAACTAATTGTACATTGTTATTTGTGAAAATGATTTTAATGCGTCTTTATCATTTTGCGGCATGAAAATTTAAAGGTTCTGTGTCAGATATTTTAAAATAAACTTTTTAATTTTTTAATTCTTTATCATTTTCTGTAAAAATTAATCAATTTGAGAAATTATTATTTATAATAACTATTGTACTACACTTTTTATGTAGAGTTTTTAATTCCTGTGTTTAACTTTTTTTTAACAAACATAATATTATGAGGTTGTCGTGTTAGGAAAAATACCACATACTTTTCCTTACACCGGCCATATGTTACTGGATTAACCCCTAATTTTCTACGTAAATAATACATTATGTAATTAATTTAGTACTCGACTTAGAATGTTGATATCATTACTTTCAATGTTACTAAGCATGCAATATTTATTTAAAAGTTCTATCTATTAAAAATTAAAAAGTTCTACCTATAGAATCTTCTTGCTCTGTAAGCAATATTTTTAGTCTTTTATTTTTCACATATTGATTTTTGTTTTGATGATTAATATTCAAATAATGTACACATTATTTCTAATTTTGTTTTCTAATTATTCACTAAAATAATTTTAATTATTAACACGTGCGCTATAATTTTGTGTTCACTTTTCTATTGATAAATCCATTAAAAATCTGCATGTAAATGATACTAGTCAGATGAATATTATAATTTCACTGTACCATAAGCTCTATCTTTCTATTGGATAATATACTACTTAATAATTCAACTACTATTCTGTTGTGATGAAACATCGTCCAGTTTCATGTAATGTTTTATTATATTACATTGGGTTTACTCAATTTTATATTTTCAGTAAAATGCACGGTTCATTAATTTAAAAAATAAACAAATTTCTCGACATTTTTAATTGCATAATAAGAAATTAGTATTTCTATGGAAACAGGATTTTTCAATAAGTTATTTAAGAAAAATATACAATTGAAATAGATAGCCTGTAAATATATTGATGACATTTTAAAATATATTTAAAATGTTACTAGTATTATGCAATGACTAATGATTATCATCCTTTAATATAATAAAACTTAGTTAAAGAGGATCTAAAAAAATTTTTTTTTAATTGATATTTTTATTCATAATAATAATTACAAATATTATGCATAAATTAACTGATTTTTTTCAAATATATGTTATAAAAAATCTTATTACTTATTGGAGTTTAAAAAAAACCCAAAATAACACATTATTTTTTAAATAAATATGAAACAATATTGAATGATAAAACAGAAAAAAATACAAAAAGAATTTTCTGAAATATAAAACACTTAATATTTTATAGAAGCCCAAAATACATTGTTAAAACATAAAAATATTACATTGATTTAAATAATAAATTTTGATAATGGATTTAAATTATATTTTTATTTATTATTTTATATTATAGATATATTTTTATCTAAATTCATTTGTTAGATTAATAAATAAATCATATCAAAAGTCATTTAATAAATCATAAAATATATTTATTATAATTATAATTAATTGTAAACATTTTAAAACCGTCATATGCAATAATACAAAATAGAGAACATTTTATTTGTATATTTCACACTCAAAATAATAATACATATAATTCTAATTTACTAATGAACACAAATTTATTATTCTAAACTAAATTAATTAAATTTATATTGACATATTTTTAATTGAAGTATTGGTGTAAACTCCAATTTACAACATTTAAATTTAATTATTATTTTTATTCGAATTAACTATTTTTGTTAGTTAAGTATTTCTAAATATATATCAAAATAAAAAATAAATGTTACATTAATTGTTATGGTTACCAAATATGAAACTACAATGTTTTAGCATGAAAACTTTAAATGATAATTCATCTATAAAAATTCAACCCTTCAGCCAATTATACATGTAATTTTTCTTTTAATAATTTTTCAAACACTGAATAAAATTGTTTTAACAAAACAATAAAATATTATATACATTTATTAAAATATTTTTTTTATATTTTATTGAAAAATTCTATTTGATGAAATACCATTTCAAGTTTGTAATCATATTCAGTTAATTGTATTTCAAAAATAATACTAATTCAGAAATAGAAGAAAATACTTGGTTTATCTATTAATGTATATCTCTGTAATAAAGAATTGTGAATTAATTAATACTTTTTTATTTATAATTAAATTTTGATATGTGATTTAAATTGTTTTGATCCATAAATTATACTAATTAAAGATGCATGATAAAGATAAAAAACTTAATTAGTACTCAACATGTATGTCATGTATAAAATGTTAGCAAATATTAAATGAAATCAATTTTTGAATTAGTAAATTAGAGAAATGTTATGAAATAAAATATAAATTCATGAGGTTACACCTTAACAAATATGAAACACAAAAGTTAAATATCACACTTAATGTATCAAGATATTTGATTAAAAGTAAAAATTATAAACTATCATAAAATTTTCTAACTTATTTACTGTCATTACAGTTGTAAAAATGTTGACTAAATTTGCTATAATCTAAGTAATGGAAAAGTGTAAATTATAAATCTAATCCATCAGCAACTAATATTGATATTTAACTTGAATTCTAAACTTGTCAATTAAATAAAATATCAGTTATTCAAAATTTTAGCAAATAGTAAAAAAATACCATAGAAATTAGAAGATTCTTTTAATATTCATTCGTTTTGAAAATATACTTGCGTTGTGAATTGAAAATTGGTATGATAATATTATCTGCTATATTTCATTTGAATAACAAAATTTAAAAACACTATATTTGTTGATAACATAATATTACAACTATCAGTTGGTAAATAGTCATCAGTTAATCAACGACGGACCAATTGTTGCATTACCTACGGTAAGGGTTGTTTCACTTACAGATAAATTAGAATTGAATTTAGCCACTAATAAATGATGCGGCTCGCGATGAGTTTTAATGTAGATAACTATTTTAAATGTCTCGACTTTAGTGAAGGCTCTCGCTCTTAATTTAATTATACGCTTGTATGCTAAATTTTCCTTAAATGTAGTATACAGATCAATACAACCATATGTAAAACTAAAGGAGTGGCTTAGTCTTTTAAAAAGTTAGAAAATTATGTTATTGTTATTTAAATTATTTTTATAATAGGGAAAGATAAATTTAACGCTTTTAAAATGTTCTATATAGTAGCATCTATGAATTAAAATCTTGAAACCTTTATTAGACTTTAGACAATAAAGATAAATAAATACATCATGGTAAAATTAATAACTTTACAGCTATCGAAGCTAAAATATAACTTAATAAGATATATAAAATAATCTTAAGTCTGCACAGGTTAAAAACTTAAGTTTAATTTTGTCATGAGTATAAAAGTCAAAATCGAAAAATGATGCATCACAGAAACTATTTTATAGTCTTTTATTTACCTCAAACTATTCCTTAACTGTCGATAGATCAAATGTAATATTAGAAAATATGTAGACAAGTTACATTAACTTGAGTTAAAAATAATTATTAGTTGGTGGTTGAAAAGTACACTACAACTCCTATAGGAATAAGTTTGGAAACGTTTGCGTATTGAATAATAATGTTATAATGACCACAGATAATTTTTGTGTAAACCTACAAACTACTACCTGAAATATGTTTAAGAGCATGACGTACTTAAAATGACACTAATTGTCGATAAAGCGACTATAAAAATTGAACAAGTTCCAACGGTCACAGGTAACAGTGATCATTAGTTATGTATGTTAGATACCAATGCTAAAACTCCTAAAGGAATAAGTATAGTTTTTTTTAACTATATTTATTTTTTACTTTTTAGTTTCATATGCTATGAAAGCGTGTTTTTTAGTTTTTTTAACCATATTTTTTTTACATAAATAGTTACAGTATGTATGTTTTTGGTTAAAATATTATAGTATGTAATATGACCATAATCGTTATGAACTCGATCATGTTTTCATCAAGTTTCATGTACTGTTCCATAGAACTTTTTCCCTACTTTATCGACTTATGATAGTAGTTACTATCAATTTCATGATTGTAACGGGTAACGGAGAATCAGAGTTCGATTCCGGAGAGGGAATTGGAGAAACGGCTACCACATCCAAGGAAAGCAGCAGGCGCGCAAATTACCCACTCCCGGCACGTGGAGGTAGTGTCGAAAAATGACGACTCATTACGGGACTCATATGAGGCCACGTAATCGGAACGAATACACTTTATATCTCTTAATGAGAATAAAGCCTGTTAATATATACATTTTAATAGTAATTAGTGTATATACATATATAGAAAAGCGACTTAGGTACGAAAATAATATCGCGGCACTTTGGCTGGCGACGGTGACGCGGTGTCTGCCATGATTCTCGGGCGTCGAAAAGTTAGCAGCGTTGATGGCGACAGTTCGCGGGTGCGGATCGGTTCGTCGAGTTCGGTTGTGCGACACGTCCCGAGCCGGTGGCGTACACCATCGACGTTGTCACTTTAACAACGGGAAGAAGACTAAATGTATCATTTGCGGCGGGTCGTCGTCGACCGCGCGGCTCTTGCTGGACTTTGCACCGTGGCATATGGCACGCGGTATTGGTCAGTCAAACAAAAGTAGTCATAGTAGGGCGACGGCTGATAAAGGTGGCACGAGTGACCGTGCCACAATAAAAATTAGTATATATATATATATATAATATTGTTGACACGCACTCGTACAAAAATCAAAAATAAAATTATACAGGAATAGTGTACGGTGAGCGGGGTGAGGTGAATGCGTTACAACAGTGTCTAGCTCAAGGCCATAGACGAAGGGTTAAATAGTTAAATAGGAGAATAGTAACACGTGGCGGTAGATTTTTACCCTTTTACATTAGGGTTGAACTTTAATTTTAATATTAAAAGATGCATTTTAATTAATCCATTAGCTTCTAAAAAAAAATTATTAAAAAATCATTAGCAGCTCTAACAAATCGGTGTTTCCGAACTTATTGAACATGCTGTATAGTTGTATATTTTGAGCGCCTATAATTCCATAGCTGTACGCAATTAATAATGGGTGACGGTAAAACTACAAAATCGTAAGCTGGAAGTGACATAGTTGTATAGCATGAACAGAAATTATTAATATTATTAATATTATTAATATAGCAGAAATAAAAAATACGAGAAAATTTATAGTTAAAAGATTTACTAAACAAATGTATTGCTCGGAATGAAAAATATTTCTAGTTGAATTGATTCACAACATGAAGACTACATATATCATAACTGATACAACGTGACGAGTATCTAGAGCTAATATGTTATCTACAAAGAATACTATTGATTACATTGCTCAATAAATATAAAACATTTTTTGTGATAAACATAATGATAGTAGATTCTAAAAATAACACTTTATTTTTCTAGGTTTGTATGAAGTTGGGTTGGCGAGGTAAAGGAACAAAATGGGATTTATTACCATTGGTACTATCAGCCAATGGACACGATCCAGATTATTTTGATTTACCAAGAGAACTAATTTTAGAAGTTAAACTTGTTCACCCTAGGTAAGAAGCTTTTATAATGTTCAAATAAAATTTGAACTTAATAACGAAGTACATGTCAAACAATTGATTTTTAGTTCTTTAAAATTCAAATATTGATGTCAAGATACATATTATTTTTAATATTTTTTACCTTATTAGTATTATTTGAAAAATATAATAAACATTACATATTATTAAGCTTGGTATAAACATTTTTTTAAATATTGACATAAAGTAAATTATTAATTTTAAGTCAACAATTTTTAAAATAAATGCTAAATAGTTCAGTTATTTATCTATATGTATTACAAACAACTAATACAATTGTTCAATCTTCATTGATTTATTCATAAAGTATTATTTTCCATACAGTTGTCCAGTGTTTTTTGTACTTGGGATTAACATTTTATTGTTACTTAATCTAGCCTTTTAAGTGCCATAAAAATACAATAACTGGATTTTTTCATTTTCAACTTAATTTAAATAGTTTTTGAAATCATATTTTTCTGAAATATTTGTAGTCACAAGCTTTTAAATTGCATTTCTTAATTTTTCACGAAACCGCAAAAGCCTTCCTGAAATCATAGTACTACTTTTATATTATTCATATCGAGATTGAACCAAATAAATTTTGTATTCTTCACACTGATATTAATTGCTATATTTCCTATCAAAATATTGTAGTTTTAATGCATTAAGGTAATATTTAATACAATTATATTAAAGTACTTTAAAACTGTTCCGTCGTAAATTATTTTCTGGGATATTTTGTTGAATGATTTATTCATAACATATAATACAAATTTATGTTATGTTGGATGTATATCCCAAAGTGTCATTTTAGTACAATGTAATAAAACTAAGTAAAATGAATAAAAATATTTTATTGCAACAGGGTTTTTATTTCTTAAATAAGCCTTTTGATTAAACTTTAATTAGTAGCGATGTTGAAACAAATTAAATATTACTTGCCTTTAAAAAATCTACTTGGTTATTAATCGAAAAAATTAGTATTTTTAAATTAAAATAGGGTCCTTTATTTATCTACTGAATCTCTCAGTATTGCATAGGATTCAAAACTTCATTACATTATATATTAATAGCAATATTTATTAATAAATATTACAGTGTTTTTACATGTGAAAATGCAACATTTCATTTTCATAACAAGTTTATATTAGTAAATTTTAATTTTTTTGTTTTATTAGAACTCGCACCAAGTCAGGGTATTGAATTAAGTTAATTACAATAAAATGTTTAAATACGAACATAATATATACAAAAATTATGATTATGATAACAAATAAAAAAAAAATTAATTTAAAGTGAATAAGACTTATTATATGAGATCAAAATATTCATTTTTGTACAAGAAATTTTATACTTTTTCTATTTCTTCGAGCTTAATGTTGATTAAATGTGATATCCTATTTATGTTTGGTGCTGAATATCTGTATTATTTACATTCGGTGAAGATATGTTTAACCGTCACCTAGTCCTTACAATAGTTACATGTTGGTGACAAATTTTTAGCCATAAGATGATCGTGAGTTAATTTTGTATGTTTTATTCGTATTCTGTTGATAATTACTTGCAGTTTTTTAGAAATGTATTGTATATAGAGCCAAGAATAGTGTTTTATACCGTTTAATTTAGTGTTTCAAGAAAATCACATTTTATTTCATCCGTAAATGTTGAGGTATTGTATAATTTTTTGTGTATCATTATAAGAATTTATTTTTAAATGTTTGTAAGTTGTTGTTATTGTAGCATAACACCGTCTTTAGCATCTTTATCTTCAAGTACATAACCTTAAATACTTATATCACCTAGTATCCACATTAGTGTTATATGGAAGTTTAATTATTTAAACTTATGGATTTTGTTTTGTATTAATCATGGAACATCTGCTGGTTGATGTTTGTTTGGAATTTTAAATGTAGCACAAATCGAATTTGAAAAAATATTGAGTATTTTTTTTTGCGCTTTTATAATTTTGAAAGTTTGTATATGGCAACTACTTCAGCTATGTATATAGGGTGTTCAGTAAATAAGGAAACGACACTGTATTTATATTATTGCTGCTACAGGATAAGTTGAAATCGTCAGCATACAGTGTTAAGTATATCGGAGGTAAAGTGTTTTCTGTAGTATCATTTATTGAACTTAAAAAAAAAGGAGTGACTAAAATAGCAGAGTCTTGTAATTTTTTATTTAATCACGTTGTTTAAAGCTACGTGTACAAAGATCAGAGATTATTGGATTTGCAAAAGTATTTAAAATAAAATACTTTTTTAAAGAAAACTTGAAACTGAAAGAAGAATAATATAAAATGCCACATAAACAACCGTTTTTGAAACAGAATTGTAGTGAAATTGCATAACCCAAAGTCAGTTCTACAATAACGACCTACCATGTCGTTTACTTTTAAGTTACAACATTAATTACAAATCAAATAGAAAACTAACGAACGCTTTTAGCCAGAACCACGTTTGCAATTGTTTCTAAAGTTATAATTTCAGATCGATCCTATTATTTCTTAGAAAAATGTTTAGGAAATATTTTTTGCAATAATTAAGGAAATAACATAAAGTATATTTTTATACAAAATAATTACATTATCAAAATTAATTAATTAATCAATCGCTATTAATTTAATACTTGATATTATATTGAAAACTTTTATTATTAAACCAAAAATCAAAATTAAACAACATTTTATTTTTATTTTTACTAATACATGAGTAATTATTTTATTACACAAAATATAACCAAACAAATACAATTAAAGTTGTTTAAATGTTCATTAACATTTTAAATATTATATTAGTATTAATATTAATATTAAAGGTAATATTTATTTAAACATAACATTTGTCAAGCTAATAATAAAATAATGCAAACATATATTTTTTTAAATTTTGTTTTTTCGAATTTTAGAAAAAGGGTTCTTTAATAGCTTGATAATAGCTCTTAGTCAAAATTAAACAATAATTTGTATAATATAACCTTACTCTATTTTTTAACAAATAAATTAGATGTATTTAAAAAAACATGAAGATTATGTTTTATGAATTATATAGATTTGATTGGTTTGCTGATCTTGGTCTACGGTGGTATTGTCTTCCTGCAGTGTCCAGCATGATGTTTGAGTGCGGCGGTATTCAATTTACAGCGTGTCCATTTAATGGTTGGTATATGAGTACAGAAATCGGATGTAGGAACTTGTGTGATACTTATAGATATAATGTTTTAGATGTAAGTATTTATATCATTTAACTATTAGAAATTATTACTCTGCACTATTTATATTTTACTTTTAATAAATTCGATTTTCAGACAGTTTTAGAACATATGAGGAATGATGTAAATCATTATGGGTTTTTAAAAAAAGACCGTGCTCTAGTAGAAGTTAATTTATCCGTATTATATAGCTTTCAAGTAGGTATTAAATTATCTTTAAGTATTTTTTTTTAATCTTTATAAATGTATTTAAGTCGAACAACATAACAATTATGGACCACCATACAGCTTGTGAATCGTTTATGAAACACTATGATAACGAGTTAAGAACGAGGAAGGGTTGTCCGGCAGATTGGGTGTGGATTGTACCTCCAATATCCGGGTCAATCACACCCGTATTTCATCAAGAAATGGCCAACTACGAACTACAACCGACATATAGTTATCAAGTAAGAAAACTAAATAAAAATCAAATTCTGGCACTTCAATATTTTTACATATAGCATTACATAACATTTTTTTAGCTTCGATGCGAAGCTGAGAAGGTATTAATTTTACTATGATGTGTTTTTTTTTATTTATTTATTTATTTATTTTTTGTGTCTGTTACCACTTTTTCTCAGCTCTCACCGAAACGATTTCTTTCAACGATACGTCAAAAGATCACAAATCGTATCTAGTCGAAGAGATTACCCTCAAAAATTGAAAACATTTCCCTCGTTCTCCGTAAATGGGGGAAATCTACAAAAAAATTACAAATTTTCGAAATTTTCGAAATTTTTTTTACTTACAACTGCCATAACTTTTTCAAAAACGAACAAATCAATGTAATTTTTTTTTATAGATGCATTATGTCTTTACCTACCATTTGATGTATTTATTTTATAATTTTGACTCTTTATCAGCCCACAGGGAGGGATTCAAAATGACAACTTTTTCACAAAAAATTAACTTTTAAAAGTGTTCTGAAAATACTGACACTTTTATATATATCTTAAAGTAAAGCTAATGTAATGTTCTTTATTATGCAAAAAAAAATTTCGGACTTTATTTTATCTTCACGGTGAAAATGGCTACCGAATGNGATTCAAAATGACAACTTTTTCACAAAAAATTAACTTTTAAAAGTGTTCTGAAAATACTGACACTTTTATATATATCTTAAATTAAAGCCAATGTAATATACTTTATTATGGAAAAAAAAAATTTCGGACTTTATTTTGTCTTCACAGTGAAAATGGCTACCAAATGCTATTTTTGTGTGAAGATTCTCGATTTTNGTTTAACTTTATTATGCTATAACTTTTTGAAAAATGTATGGATCAGTACAATTTTTTCTTGAGGAGTAGTATTTATATACATTTTTCATTTGACATACTGTTCTTTTAAATCTGACCATTTCCCTATACACGAGGGGGGTTCAAATCTAAAAAATGCATATAGAAAGTAGAACTTTTTCAACTTAAACTTTGAAAGTGTTCCGGAAGGTCTGNTTATATTTTACATTTTTAACTTTAAAATGTATTTAAAAAAAAATAAATAATAATCACTTAAAAGTGTCATCAATGGGTGGCTTCTTTTATCAAGTATTTCATGTTATAATTATTTTAGCTAATACTCTTATTGTACCTATAGGGAACAGGTTGTGTATACATTAATTAAGGAAAAAAAAAACTTTAAAATGCTATAACTTTTTTAAAAGTGTATGGATCAATAGAATTTTTTTTATGAGAAATAATATTAATATCCCTCTTTCATTCGACATACTTTATCTAAATCAGGATATTAATAAGGAAATAGCAGATCATGTAGATTTTGGAATAATCCACCAATTTTTTTTAAATTAAACACTATCTAAAGATTTGCATTGAAGCGTTTTTTTTTTGATAGTGATTATATACTTGACCCAACTATGCCACGTCTCTACTGTGTTGCGACCCCCCTGTACTGGGTTTTTTTTTATGCTGTTATTAACTTTAATGTACTATATAATTGAATTTAAGATCAATACGCATACAAATCGCAACCAAAGGTTTCTTAATGTATGATGAATTTTTTTTTAAAAACGTGAACAAATACGGGTGTTAAAGGATATTAGTCTAACCTACAAAAACCAATTAATATTAATTCTATATTAACTTTTCAAAAGACTTGGAACAGTAAATATAAAAGAGTATAAGAAGTTAAATAGGATATTTGTGAATAATAAATATTAATGGAGTAAAAAGTACTATATCATTCCATTAAATCTCATTTTAATTACTGAGCCACATTTACAAGATTTTTTATTCATTGAGTATACCTTTAGGTGCACAATATGATGTAATATTAAGAAAATAAAAAAGCTATTTTAACATGTTAACATATTTACATTTACAGGAAGCCGCATGGAAAACGCATGTTTGGAAAAAAGGACAAAATCAGGGAAAAACATCAAAAAAACAACGTAGAAAATTTCACTTCAAACAAATCGCTCGGTTAGTATAAATATTAGTACATAACTAAGTATTTAATAACATATTTTGAACTTGATTTCTTTTTTAGGGCGGTTAAATTCACATCAAAATTATTTGGACAAGCATTATCGCGAAGAATAAAAGCAACAATACTTTACGCTACAGAAACGGGAAGATCAGAAATATATGCTAAGAAATTAGGCGAAATATTCGCGCATGCATTTCACTCTCAAGTAATAGATATTTTAATGAGTTCAAATCTAATTTTTTATGTAGATGAATTTTTAATTTAATTTTTCAAGGATAATATATCATTAATATTTTTATATTGTAATAATTCTTTTAACAAAGAATCTTACTAAGTAGTGATTATCTAAAATTAACTATTCTTTGGGTAGGTGATGAGCATGGAAGAATATGATATGACAAGTATTGAACACGAAGCATTATTGTTGGTCGTGGCATCAACATTTGGAAATGGAGATCCACCGGAAAATGGTCAAGTAAGAAAAAGTTTAGATATTGCTCTTGGTGAAATATTTAGACAAATATTGATAGTATTTTAATATATAACAATCGTCTCATCAAAACATTGTATACATACTAGACTTGATAAATAATAATATATACTAATGAAAAAATACTTATTGCATTAAACCTAATATTCAAATTTATATGTAATTATAGTTATTGTAATTGAATATAAATATAATTATTATTATTGCAATTATTACTATTTTATAGCCCATTTAAACCAACGAAATATATTAATGTAGCTATTTGTAATTTAATAATGTATCTTAATTAGAGGTATAACATTTACTTGTACAATTAAAAATGTTATTACATTAATTAATATACCTCTAATAAACTTATACAAACCTGGGATGGTTTTGGAGCAGGCACACACAAATATTATAAAAGCATATAAATTTGAACTCAAATGATGAATATTTTATTTTTTTGTAAATTTTAAACTATTTACATTTTTAAATACATGTATATTAACACTATTTATTTGTAATTGCATAAAAATTGATTTTTCATATTTATATTTTTTATTCATTTAAATCTTATATTATATAGCTAAAATTAAATAATATTTATTTTATAGGAATTCGCTCAGCAGTTGTATTCATTAAAAATGGAACATGAAGTCAGCTATTCTAATAAACCTTTAATAATTAAATCTTCACCACTTAGGTAAATATATAATGTGGCAATTCCTCATAATAAATAATAAATAATATTGCAAAACTCTATCAAACCATTAATTTTGATTTCTAGTTCAGCATCATTTATTAAAGCAAATAGTCTTTCCGAAATTCATTTTTCCGAATTAAATGATTCTTTTAATAAAGACTCTACGGATATCGACAATTTTGGGCCTCTTGGGAATGTAAGGTAAGTGAAATAAATAATTATTAATTAATAGTCATAGTATTGCTAATGATTAAACTTTTTTTCAGTTTTATATTATTTTCAGTTTTTTAATATGCATTTTAATTATATTCTAAGAATTAATTTTAACACGTAATAACATTTTCCATATTGCATGCATTAATTTTGACCGAAAAATATATTTTATTCAAATGTAGAATACCAGTCACAAGTCATTGGCTTCTTGAACCAATGATGAAATGTTTTAGATTTGCTGTTTTCGGGCTGGGTTCGAGTGCATACCCAAACTTTTGCTCGTTTGGGTCTTATGTCGACAATCTATTGAGCGAGCTAGGAGGAGAACAGTTAATGAAGCTCGCAAAAGGCGACGAAATGTGTGGTCAAGAACAAGCCTTTAAAAAATGGGCTACCGAAGTTTTTCATGTGAGTAAAGTTTCAAATGTATCTAAATACAAATATAAAATGTATGTTTTTAAATAAGTGTTGATAATTTTAGTAAAAATTATTTTATACTTATAAACAACTTGTTTATTCTCATAATTTGTGTAGGTTGCTTGTGACACATTTTGCTTAGACATGGACGAGACTCTTAGCGAAGCGTCTCAAGTACTTCACAGTGAAAAATTATCTGCATCAACAGTTCGTTTTGTTCACATAGAAGAAGAAGACCTTCATTCAGGTTCATTTTTTTAAATACTTAAATTTTAAAAAAAAATTTTCTTGAAAAATACATATCTTTTTTTAAGTTCACTCAATAAAATATAAAAATATTTCACTAGTTTTAATTTTTCTTATTTTCTATCTAGCATACACTCGTTATCATAACAAAAAAGTGTGGCGTTGTAAATTAAATAATAAGCAAAATCTTATGAGTAATAGTGAGGATAGTAGAAGTGACCGAGTGACATTATGGCTCGAGATGAACGTGGATGAATGGAAAACAGTTGACAAAAACATGTATGAACCGGGAGACCATGTTGGCATGTTTGCAGAAAATCGGTCAGAGCTCGTAAATGGAATAATACAACATTTAGGAACTGATCAAGATCCTGATCAAGCAGTGGAGCTACAAATACTCAAAGAAAAACATACTTCAACCGGTAATAGTAATCGAATTCGTGTATAACAACTGTAATCTATCTATTGACTTAAAACATGAGCACAAAGTTACTTTTTTAGTTAACTTTAAAAATCCTACCCAGCTTTTGTATGCAACGTTTTCAAACACGTGTCAAAACGTAATGATTGAGTATAATGCATTGATATACTCGTATAATAGGCGCTAGCGAAAAAGTTCTAAATAAAACACATAGAATATAACTAAGCAACTCTCCATGCAAGCTAATGCCTACTAAATAATAAAAAATACATTAACCCACCGTTAATATTTTACAGGTGTGTTAAAAAATTGGATAGCGCACGAAAAACTTCCTAGATGTTCACTTAGAACTTTACTAACACGTTTCTTAGATATTACCACTCCACCTTCGCCAAACATGTTGCAGTTCTTAGCTTCTTTTGCCACCAATCCTACCGATTGCAAAAAACTCACCCACTTGGCGATAGTAAGTGCAAATAAAAAAAAATTTATATAGCTAAATCGATAGTGACCATGTAAATTTATATTATAGGATAGCTCAAGTTATGAAGACTGGCGTCATTGGCGATTGCCTAATCTCCTTGAAGTGTTCCATGAATTCCCATCAGCAAAACCACCAGCCGCCTTACTCGTAGCACAACTTACGCCGTTACAACCAAGATTTTATAGTATTTCATCAGCAAGCCAATTATATCCACATCAAGTGCATCTTACTGTCGCTGTTGTAACTTATAGAACTCAAGGTGGGGACTCTACTTAAAAAATAAAAACTCTGGTATTAATACATAAAATAATGAACAATAGTGTACGCTTGAGGACAAGTTTGATACTCTTATTAATCCACAAATTTATTTTATTTTTATCAAGAATTATTGGTCGCTTATAATATAAAATACATCTATACTCAATAAGAAATGTTTTTATTAACCCCTTTAAAAAAATTATATTTATACCACTACTGACTTATCGTTAAATAATATCTAATTCATTTTCTTACATTATAATATAATATTAATTATCTATTATTCTTTTTAGGAGGAAAAGGACCTATACACTACGGAGTTTGTTCTAATTTCTTGTTGGAGACTAACATGAATGATACACTGTACATGTTTGTGCGAAGGTATTGATATAACAAAAACCACCTTAATGTAGCGATGAAATAATAATAACTGTTTTATCCATCTTATTTTTGTCATTTTTATAGTGCCCCAAATTTCCACTTGCCCAAGGACGTGACCAAACCTTTAATATTAGTGGGTCCAGGTACCGGTATTGCGCCGTTTCGTGCATTTTGGCAGCACAGATATGCTCAAAACAAAAAAGGAAATGGTATGCAAACACGTCTTGTTATTGTCATAAAAATGTTTTTAATCAACCCTATCATGTGTTTTATTGACTTTATAGATTATAAAATAGGCAGAGTCATACTATTTTTTGGTTGTCAGTACAGATCACTGGAGTTGTACAAATCCGATAAAAAAACCATGCTAGAAGAAGGTGTTTTGGATAAAGTTTACTTAGCACTTTCCAGGGAACCATCAATACCAAAGGTTAGACATAAAATATTATCTTTTTACTTATAAACGTCATTATTGATAACATATTTATTCTTGTTTAATATACTTCAATGAAATTATTTTTTATGTAGTAAACAAATAATTAATCGAAAATTCACTATTGCTTACAATGGTGTGTGATATATAATTTCTTTACTTTGCAGACATATGTACAAGATTTAATGTTGAAAGAGTCAAAAATGATTTATGAGCTGATTGCTGTAGAGAGAGGACACTTTTACGTATGTGGCGACTGCAAAATGGCTGAAAACGTGTACCAGACACTTAAATCCATTATTCAAGAACAAACTGGCATGAATTCTACACAGTCTGATAACTTTATGCTAGGACTACGGGTATAATCTCAGATTAAACACAACTGATTTATACTACAAAATGTCTATCGTTTTGCGGCATTTTGTCGGAAACACGATTTATAACGTTGTACAATAAAATACTGTTCACCTTTGCGGCGCGTTTAAACGTGGCAGGAACACTTGGGATTAAACATTTCTCGATAAATTTTATTTTTTAAATTACAATAAACTATCTATCAAATAGATATCTTTTAACAGTTATCTTCTAAAATCAATCGCATGGTATAAACAGTTTAATATACTTTTGAATCAAAACGCATACATTTACAATTTATACACAATGATTTTTTTTTTTTAATAATCCCATGAAAAATTATTAGACAAGTCTATAGGTTGTATTTACACATAAAACAGTGACTCTTTTATAAAATTCTATAAAAAAGTGAAATTGAAAAATAATTAAGAACTATTTATAGCATTAATGAATTCATGAATAACATAAGCCAATTATACAATGAATAGGTACTAAACTCTGTTAAATAATTCAAATAATAAAGTTTTCTTTTACGACCTTCACAATTATTTTTTAAAATGCTTAACAAAATCTAGCCATAATTAGATTGGATATCACACAGCTGCCTCGAACGTTATCAACGTTGTGTAACATTAGATTATTTTTCACCTAGCTATTTTTTCAGTACATATGTGTATAAATAAAGAAAGGGTAAAAATATAATAACAAAAACAATTGTGCATTCATTATCATCTCCTTGACCTCTATCCCCACTATTTGTGATCGGTTCTATCTCACAATGATTTGACAGGATTTTTACAACTAACGAAACCTCATTATGATTGAGGGAAGGAATAACGAGTAAGATGTGTGTCACTATCAAGTTCACGTATGGTCACTCATTCGGAAAACAGCAGCACAGTTGAACATCATCGCCAAACGATGATGACTGATTGATCTACTGTGATACACCACTCCCCTAAAACACAATTGTACATTAAAAATCAAAAAAAATTATATAAACTAACATGTTATTACTACGATAAAAAATTTACTCATATGCAAACGTAATTAACGACCTTTTACACTTTCAGGACGATAATCGTTATCACGAGGATATCTTCGGTATAACGTTACGGACTGCAGAAGTACATCACAAGTCTAGGGAAACTGCTCGAATTCGAATGGCATCCGAATCGGTTCCATAACGTTCAATTTGGCCTACTATAGGCAACATGTTAGCTAAATCGATAGCAACCATTCAAGAATTTAGAGATAAAAAATTGTAAATATTTTTGACTATACACTTCGTACCTATTATCAACTTTGGTGATTTTTAACCCGAACACGTATTCTATGGTCCGGGTGTTAACATAGCTTATACGTGTATGTTTATTTACGATTACCATACATAGATGTAGCATATAATGTATTTCTATATATTTTATTTAAATCCCACACAATGTCCTTCGCGTCTTTTAAGTGTTTACATAATGTTATAAAAATATTAAATTTAAATCTGTCCCTGCCGAGTTTACATTTGAAATAACGTGTCTAAGTTTACACAACCATTCGATTCAATTGAATTTACCGACGAAACATCAGTTCACAATTTTTTCATATGAATACCCTCTTCAGAATACCGAATACTATCGAGTACATAATGCATGCAAAATTGGCACTATTGTCCGTGAGAAGTCTACTTCAAATTTAAATCGAACACCATTAATGCACATTACAGGTTAAATACCTATTTGCCAAATCAAATGAAAGTCAAAAAATAGCATATATTATGATTTATTAAATAGTTAACCTGTTTTAATTTTATTCGTTTTGCTCTTGTTATAAAATTTTTATTCAGTAATTATATTTTTGTTGTTATGAAATTCACTGCATAAGTAAAAGATTATTATTACCTCAACATGATCGTTTTAATAATTTCCTGGAAAAAATAGATACATTAATAAAGTAAACCAGTTAGCCATTCTGTTTTTAAATAATAGAATATTGAACTAATATTTAAAATATTAGAATACCAATTTAAGACAATAATATATTCTCATTTTTCTAAAAGTTTGCAATTTTATTAAATAAATTTATATAGTTACTTTATAAAATACTTATAATAATAATTAATAAATATAATTCTACTAATTTTTTTAAAATTTATGATGACTTTTGGTGTTTTTATACTTGTAAATTAAATGTAAACACAACTATATCCGTTTGTTATTTTATTAAGTTAAAGATGGAATCTAATTATTTTTATGTTTAGTATTTGTGATTATAATTATTTCAACACGATTTAATATTAGATTTCACGATTTTAACTAAATTCTATGTGTTTATATTAAAATAATTATAGAGATTTTAAATGTTTCAAGAAATTTATAAAAAAAAAAATTTACTCAACCTTAATACATAAAATACATTTTTTTTTATTAATATTTTTAAATCGCATACCTTTATGCATAATAAACTCTTAGCCATTTAACTGTATAGCAATAATCCAAATATCTTTTGACAACAGAGTCATTGATACCGTGACCATAAGTCTTCCAGATAAAATTTATTATCAGCAACGGTATAAAATCTTAATGTAATAAAATTTAATATATCTTTTTTTATTTATTTAACATATTATATTGAACGTAGCTATTGACTTAAAAAAATAAACCAGTAGGGTGCAGTGAATTTCTCATTCATGACCAGTAATTAAGGTTTAGCCTGAGGATGGATGACTACTCAAGAAATCCAACGGCAATCACTAAGTAAAGTCATTTAGGGTAATAATTTCTCATGAATGAAGTCTATTTGTTTAACTTAACAATTTCTGAAATTTTATGTTTTATTTTATAAAAATACATTCAATAGAAGATAAGAAGTATAAACATTTTATCTAAATTTATTATTTTTTATTTTTACAATAATTTTGAAATAATATTAGACTAATACAAAACTTAATATGTTAAAATATAATTATATACATAATATGTAGAAAATATATTATATAATTGTAATTATTATTATTGTCTCTATAATTTCTAGCATCAAAGTACTCAGGGTAAATTTATATTATTGGGATCTACATATTTAATGAAATTTTTCATAAAAACTATAAAGAAACTAAAATACTATTATGCTGCGTGTGGTAAATATTTGTCGAAATAATATCCATGTGAACTAAAACACAAATATTGATCATAATTGATAAAACGTCAAACGAATTAAACTTTAAGGAAGTAATCATAGTACATAGTTTGTATCAATTTATTATCTTTTTATTCAAAAAAAATATTTTTATCTTTTTCAATTACTTGTTTAACTTTAGTTAAATTGTAAATCATTGTTATGTATAATTCTTTTTTCTGGTATTACATATATTTAATTCTTGTTATTAAATTGTAATTTATCTTGTTATACTTGCTTTAGTGTTTAATACAAAAATAATATCTATTTACTTTTGATGAAGTTCATGTCGTAAATATAATTAATACACTGAAGTTGCTCTAATTACTATAATACAATATATATATATATATATATATAAAGAAGAAATCTTCTTAAAGACATATAAGTTTTTTAAAATTTTAACCGATGCCAACCAAAAAAACAGAAACATTTGTATAAAATTAATAAATTTACTATCGAAGCAGAGCTGGTACATGAAATCTTATAATAAAAATGTGAGAATTATAAAAACCTACATAAGCATTGTTTTACCTTTCTTTTTTAATATTGATACTTATTCTAATTGAAATCTATATAAGTGGGTCCTATTTGCAGGCCAGCCAAAAAATTGGAAAAAAAAAGTTTTCAGGAAAAAGTGATGTGCAAAACAAAAGATATAAATAAAATAAAACTGTAAATTTTTGAGTGTCACATTTCATGGGAAAAATAGTAAATTCTGTACGGGGCCGATGTGAAGCCCTCTTAATCCCTTAAACGCTGTAAATATTTTATTTTCAACTATTTATACAAGGTAAATTTTAACCACTTATTTGAGAAATCTAATCATATGATTTTGTGAAAGCAATAAAAAAGGACAAGTATAGATGATATCTAACAGTGATTAAAAGAACTATCATTAGAAACAATTCATGCAAATCTGTAGACGGTGGTTAATTTTAAAATATTGATAAAATATTCCAAAAGTAACATCAACTCCTATTTCCTTAATTATATCCTAATTAGAAGTTCTTTGATTTATGATTATAATATATGAATAAATACGTATTATGGGAATTAAATTTGGTATAAAATTGATAATCAATAATTTAATATTGTAATTTTTAGGAAGAAATTATAAAATATTTTAAAGTAGTTGTTACTTTTATGGCAAACGCGTATAAAAATTAAGCATTTGATCAATACTTAAAAAAAAATTATATGCTACTTATGAATACATTTCCTGATCTACAAGAAATATTCATCAGAGACAAAATAACTATTCTAAAACTATCTTTACGCCAATTTCAAACCTACAATTAGATTTTTTCTATCACATATTTTATTATATTGTTACTAATTAGTAAAAAAAAATGTTTAAAATAAATACTAAAAGTAGGAGTGAGTGCTGCTACTGGTCATTTTCTTAATTAGATTATTTTCTATTTTATAAGCCAGTTAAATATTTTAAGCCATTTAAATATATAAAGTTGACACCCCTTTAAGATTTAACGGATGATTCTAAAAAGTCCTTATTAGCTGATAAATCAAGAAATATATGTAACTAATAGAAGTCAAAATTTATTTTTCCAATATTGTATTTATTTTGTAAATAATCGTGTGGTTTATGATAAACCGATCACTCTGTATATATTTTAAAAACTTGAAACTAAACATGAATAATTATTTATAGTTTATATGAAAAAATTTGGTTAAGCAAATTTTTATATAATAAAGGGGAAATTTTTTTCACTTTTTTAGGGTAATATCTTCAACTAGAAACTAGTTGTGATTATTTCACGTATCGTTGAAAATAATTAGTGACAGACACAAAAAAAAAATCATATATTAACATAATTTTAATATGAATAAGAAATTTCTTATCACAAGAGGAGACTATGTGATGAGCCTTCAATATTCTTTAAAATTACATAAATTCAATATAAATGTGATAAAAATAAAGCGAATATACTTATCCTAACTATGCCATGTACACACTTTATCGTGACCCTATTGTGCCAACGTTATTTTTTATTACTAGACTATTCTCGACCTGAATTCTCCTCCTACGTAAGTATAAAAACGTTAATGACTTCTGAAATATTAGCCTAAAATATTGTTGACCAGTTATTTTCTTAATTGGATCATTATACAGGGTGTTCAGTAAGTCAGGAAACGGGTTTCTATTGTTCTCATTGTTTGTAACAATGAGAACAATAGATACCCGTTTCCTGACTTACTGAACACCCTGTATAATAAATAAACCAATAAATTAAGTATATTACTATTATATAAAATAAAAACATTTATAAGGTGTAAGAAATGAACATAAAAAAATATTTCATAATTGATAAATCTAATAATACATATTCTAAAAGAAATAAAAAAAAAAATTATCAAAATTGTTTTTAATCGATAGGGTTATTATGAGAACCCTGTCTATAAACAAGAGCAAAATAAAGAAAAATATTTAATAAATTAGATTTATTCTAGCAATCAGTATGAAAATGTACGAAAAATATTAAATTTATGTAGAATTTTATCAATTGTTATTTTTTGGAAACTATTACAAATAAAATGAATCTATTTTAATTTAATTTTAGAAAAAATAAATTTAAAATAGACTAGTAAATTTTTAGCTAGTGTAAAAATTCTAATATAATAAATCAAAATTATATAATTTTAACACACATTTTTTTTTTAATTAATGTTTATCTTATTATGTATAAATGTAGAACAGAATAAATACGTGTCTTATGAAATTTATTCAAGTTTTATTTTAATGAAAAAATTATATGCAATATTATTACAATGTTTTTAATAAAACTTTACGAGTTTAGTTTAGTGTTATCTTGTTTGATTTTATATACAAAAGCAGATACAAATACAAAAAAACACAGAGATATGATAGACAAGTTACTTATGTCCTCGGGATGGACAAATTTAAACGATTTGTACTGTATAAATTATTACGAAAAATTGTACTACCTTCGAAATCTAATGGAAACACCTACACAATTTAATAAAAGTGATCAAAAAATACGAGCTTTGACTATATATATTGGATGTACATACGCAAAAATGTTAAATAATCTTTTATTAGCTATTTGCAGCGTTATACAAAATTGTAAAGTAAAAATTAAAGAAAAAAACGACATAATTAATGTATGCATTTTTACAGAAGATCTCTTAAATATAATAACTGTACTAATTGTTCCAATGGCAAAATTGATGAAAGGAGCGATGGATGCTTTGGATATTTTACATATAAGACCGTGGATGTCTGGTAGAAAAACTAAATACATTTTAAGTGATTCATTAGAGAAAATGGAAGATATTTTTGAGACATTAAAAGAACAAACTCTATCACGTGATGATATAAATACATACAATTTGACATTAAATACTATAGATTCATTTTTTAATGGTATAATAATGGATATAAATAATGAAACTACATTTTATTGTAGATTTAAACCTTTTGACGAGAATCATTTATCGGGTGAATGGCTTCAAGAATATGAAGCTATTCATTTCAAAGACTCAAAATTAGTATATTTCAAATTCCTAATCAGGAAAATTCAGGATTATATCAAAACAGTAGTTATAGAAAAATATTTTCAACTCGGATTTAAATTTGATCCAATCACCGAAGAAACGGTTGTTCCAACACCGAATGAGCTATTTGAACTAGGTATTAAAAAACATAAAATATTAATTAAAATATCTATATAATGTCTTATTAATATATTTACAATTTTAGAATTGGAATTTAAAGTAATAGATGAAGAGCCTTCAACGCTAATAGACACTCATTAAAAGTTACAAAATAATTATTGTCTAGCATTAATGTTTTATAATTAACCACAATATTATATAATTATTAAAAACATAATTATTTTTAAATCTTTAAATGATTATTTAAACATAATTATTTTATTTGTAGATGTTAATTATAATTTAACAGGTGGTTTATCATATATATTTATCTTATTATTTACAAATGTAAAACAGAATTTATACGTGTCTTTTGATATTCCGTTGAATTATATTTTGATCAGAAAATGTTATTCCTATAAAAACATTATCAAGTTAAAAGTTTTGAATGCTATTTTAATTATATCACTTTTTTTCTTAGATAAATAAAGAAAATAAAAAGTAAATATAGTAATTTTTACGGGTAAATTATAAAAATAATAAAGTAATTGTATATTTCTTTACTTTTAATGCGTATAAAAATTTAAAAGGCTTGATGCAAAATTTTTTAATAAAATTTTTTTGTTACTTATGAATAAATACAAGGAACTTTCATCAAAAACAAAAATTTAATTTTCTAAATCAATTTTTCGCGCTGTTTTCAAATCTGCAATTAGAATTTTATTATGAGTATTCCACTTAAGATTAATATGCAGTCAAGAAATTTTATAATTACTATTTACATAAATATTGGAAATATTACGTTAAAATCGCTATTTTATTGTATTACTATTAAAATAAATAATTTTAATAAAAACCATAGTAGTTATTTATATCTATAACTCTAACTTTAAAGGTAGAGTTTCGCATTTTTTTTTTTTGGCTGGTCTAACATAACTGAATAGAAATTTCAATGACATGTTTTTTTTACTATGAATCTAGTATTTTACTATGAAACTAAGAGATCTTAGTCTACCAGTTAGATAAGGATATTAAAAAGATAAATTAAAATAGCCTTCCCAGATTTTATCTATTTAGTTATCTCGATATTCGAAAACCAAAAGATTCTATTATACAATGTACATAGAAGATAGTACTTCTTAGTTTTTATTCTAAGATTTGTTAATATAAATAATCGAACAAATGTAATTAGAGCGCATTAAAAAATGTTTTTATTTCTACTAATTAATATTTGACAATATTTTTTCAAGACCACTTACCGTAAGTGTCTTGGTAATATTATCATTTACATTGATAAAATGAGATACTTACTGATTTGAAGTAAAATTTTTAATCTATTGTGTTAAAAATCATAAAGAAATTCTTAACGCTATCTATTATTATTTAGGAGTTTTTTCCTTATTATTATTATTTGATTCTTATAAAATTTCTTACATTATCATAAATTATGTTTAACAATTTTGTTATATTATTCTTCTGGTAGCACCGCCTGATCAAGTGTTACGATTATTATCTAAAAAGGATCCTAAATAGGTCAGTCCATGGCCTAGTCAGACCTATCCTAGTTTCATCTTCATCATGCCTGCTGGTGTGTTGTTGAATTTCATTTTGTCCTAAATATTTTTGGTTATATTTAAATAATTAAAATGTTAATTATGTTCTNTGATTTTGCCTGCTGGTGTGTTGTTGAATTTCATTTTGTCCTAAATATTTTTGGTTATATTTAAATAATTAAAATGTTAATTATGTTCTGAATATTCCAATTGTGGAATCTTTTAACACCTAATATTACACAGATATGGTTACTACGATTTCTATTTAAATGAACTATAATGATAAAAGTGTAAATAAAAATAGTAATTTTAACGAAATTTTGAGATTTTTTCATGAATTTACTATAAATAGTAATTATAAATTTCCTGACTGAGTATTAATCTTAAAAGTACCATTTTCTAAATTTTTATAACATTTTCTATTTAATGATGTAAATGATGATATCAAACTTGCAAGTTGAGCTAAAAAATAAATTATGGTAAAAAATTTATTGAATTCGATTTGAAATCGCCGTTAGATCGGCGTTGACTCTTCTCTTTTCTTTCTTCTGTCATTGACCGTGCTAGGGTGCACACTAGGGTGGCCCTCAAAAATCGAATGTCTTTTTTTTTTTTACGCTACCCCTTAATTTTTTTTTAATGGTCAAAAAAATGAGCTGTGCAAAATTTGGGACCGATCCGTTAAGGTTAACCCGTGCCCCCAGGCCTATTAAGTTAAGTCGAAGAGTCAAATTTAATAGAAATAACTGATCTATGTCTCGTAACTTTTTTTTCTCTTAACTTAGAATTATAAAAGTAAAACTCAAGTAAAGGAAATTTTACAAGAAATTCAAAAATAATAACTTCAATGTTGTTTTCTCAATAAATAGCCCACAAAAACACTACATACAGTAAAAAACATGTGAAAGTCTTAAAATACGTTATAACTGATTTTGTTGATTTTTAATTATTTATTTTCATTTTATTTTTTGGAAAACGCATATTCGTTTAAAAAAAGATTCTAGAAGTTTAATTTTTTATGCCAAGTACGATAATTATATTAGATTTATTATTTTATGGACAGTTAATTAATGATTAATTACAAACCTAACAGTTTAATTTAATTGTTATTAATAATTTTTAATTTTTTTTTTTTTTAAATAATAATAACTTTAAAAAAAATATTTTAACAATAATTAAATTATATTATTATAATATATTTTTTGATAATGTACTTTTTTTACAATTAGGAAATTTTTTCCGATAATTACTTACTATTTGTAAAACGTATTGTTTCTGTTCTTCATTTGTAGTTAATATATTAATGTAGTCTTAGATTAATTTAATGCCACGCTAGGCGGTATCATTAATGACTCGTAATTTACTTATAGTATTTAAAGCATTTATGTAACTGTTGTTCGCACTCCAAAATGATGGATCAATTTTCAAAAAATCAGTGTTCAGATTAAATAGTTGTAAATTTGATGGTAACTTACTACCAGTTATTTCGTGGGAATAATTACCAATAAGATAAATATTAGTTCGTAATACTTTAAAAGACGCTAAAAGTATTGTACATTTGTGATTAAAACGTATCATTTAATATATAATAATAAACAGGTAAAATATATTTAACGTGTTCACAAATTGTCTGCTGCATTTATACGACACAAATTATGTCAGTTGTCGAAAATAACTCAAATATACTTATCTTTAATAATAATATAATTGGTACTATCTTAAAGTAATTCAGTAAACCAAAATTGATATATTGATACGACAAAATGTAATAATACAATCAATTTTGTTAAATTTGTAATTAATCATTAATTAACTGTCCATAAAATAATAAATCTAATATAATTATCGTACTTGGCATAAAAAATTAAACTTCTAGAATCTTTTTTTAAACGAATATGCGTTTTCCAAAAAATAAAATGAAAATAAATATTTAAAAATCAACAAAATCAGTTATAACGTATTTTAAGACTTTCTCATGTTTTTTACTGTATGTAGTGTTTTTGTGGGCTATTTATTGAGAAAGCAACATTGAAGTTATTATTTTTGAATTTCTTGTAAATTTTCCTTTACTTGAGTTTTACCTTTATAATTCTAAGTTAAGAGAAAAAAAAGTTACGAGACATAGATCAGTTATTTCTATTAAATTTGACTCTTCGACTTAACTTAATAGGCCTGGGGGCACGGGTTAACCTTAACGGATCGGTCCCAAATTTTGCATAGCTCATTTTTTTGACCATTAAAAAAAAATTAAGGGGTAGCGTAAAAAAAAAAAGACATTCGATTTTTGAGGGCCACCCTAGTGCACACATTTATTCTATTCCTTAATCTAGACACAGGCTACGGTATGTTTTACATATCAACCACATATAACTTTAATTGTAATAATTGTGTTTAATAAACCACGAGATATTATAGTAATTTATACATATAACAACATATTAACTTAGATTACACTTTTAATCAACTTAAAATTAAATTCCACCTATGGTCTGGTAATCATATCTGATAGGTGTGACACCTCGTCTAGGTGGTGGCGACCCTTGCTACTATATCTAGTCGTTATGCAAGTGGCAAACCACGTTGATGTTACAGGCCGAATTAATATAAGAGCCCACTTGCAAGGAGACTATGTAGCTTTTGGAATAATTCATCAATTTTTTAAAATTAAACACTTTATCATTATACTTGACTCAACTATGCCTACCAATTATGCCACATCCTCACTGTGCCGCCACCCAACTGTGCTGGGTTTTTTTTATACATATTTTTGTATTTTAATATAAAAATGCTGTAATAACTAGACTATTCTCGACCTAAATTCTTCTCCTATGTAGGTATAAAAACGTTAATGAATGCTAAAATATTATTCCGAAATTTTGTTGACCAGTTTTTTACTTAATTGGATCATAATATAATAAATAAGCCAATAAATTAAATATATAACTATTATATAAAATAAAAACCTTTATAAGGTATAAGAAACGAACATAACAAAATATTTCATAATTGATAAATCTTAAAATACATATTCTAAATGAAATCATAAAAAAATTATCAAGATTATTTTTAATTTATAGGATTATTATGAGAATCCTGTCTATAAACAAGAGCAAATTCAAGAAAAATATTGAATAAATTAGATTAATTTTAGCGATAACTTTAAAAAAGTATGAAAAGTATTAACTTTATGTAGAATTTGATCAAATATTATTTTTTGGAAACTATAACATATCTATTTTTAATTAATTTAAAAAAAAATAAGTTTAATATCTACCATTAAATTTTTAGCTAGTGTAAAAATACTAAAATAATAAATCAAAAGTTTTTAATTGTAACACAAAAAAATATTTTTTTTTACATTTATTTTATTATTTATAAATGTAGAACATAATAATATATCTTCTGCCATTTAGTCTAGTTTTATTTTAATAAAAAAATTGTATGCACATTCATTACAATGTTTTTATTAAAACTTTACGAGTTAAGTTTAGTATTATCCTGTGTGATTTTGTATACAAAAGCAGATACAAGTACAATAAAATACATAGATATGATAGACAAGTTATTTATGTATTCGGGATGGACAAATTTAAACGATTTGTACTGTATAAATTATTACGAAAAATTGTACTACCTACAAAAACTGATGGAAACACCTACACATTGTACTAAATGTAATGAAAAAATACGAGCTTTGACTATATATATTGGATGCACATACGGAAAAATTATGTATAATCTTTTATTAGTTATTTGCAACGTTATACAAATTTGTAATGATAAAATTAGGCAAAAGAACGACTTAATAAATGTATGCATTTTCACAGAAGAACTCGTAAAAATAATAACTGTACTAATTGTTCCAATGGCAACATTGATGAAAGGAGCGATGGATGCTTTGGATATTTTACATATAAGACCGTGGATGTCTAGTAGAAAAACTAAATATATTTTAAGTGATTCAATAGAGAGAATGGAAAATATTTTTGAGACATTAAAAGAACAAACTCTATCACGAGATGATATATATACATACAATTTGACATTAAATACTATATATTTATGTTTTAATAGTATAATAGTGGATATAAATATTAATACTTTATTGTATTGTAAATTTAAACCTTTTCATAAGAATTATTTATCGGGTGAATGGCTTCAAGAATATGAAGCCGCCATTCATTTCAAAGACTCAAAATTAGTATATTTCAAATTCCTAATCAAGAAAATTCAGGATTATATCAAAACAGTAGTTATAGAAAAATATTTTCAACTCGGATTTAAATTTGATCCAATCACCGAAGAAACGGTTGTACCAACACCGGATGAGCTATTTGAACTAGGTATTAAAAAACAAAATATTAATTAAAATATCAATATAATGTCTTATTAATATATTTATAATTTTAGAATTGGAATTTAAAGTAATAGATAAAGAGCCTTCAACGCTGATACAAATAGAAAATCATTAAAAATAATAACATTATTATAATCTAGCATTAATGTTTTATAATTAACCACAATATACATAATTATTTTGAAATCTTTAAATGATTATTAAAACATAATTTTTTAATTTATAGATGTTAATTATAATTTAACATGTGGTTTATCATATACTTTTATCTTATTATTTACAAATGTAAAACTGAATATATATGTGTCTTTTGATATTTCGTTGAATTATATTTTTATCAGATAGTGTTATTCCTATAAAAACATTATCAAGTAATAACTTTTGAATGCTATTTTAATTATATAATTTTTTTTCTTAATAGCATAATGAAAGGTTAAGAGTATAATTGAGGGGCTCTCCCTCTCTCTTAGCTAGTAATGAAGATATCACAAGTATGGGAGGTTAAGAGTAAATCTATATGTAGGAAAACACTACCATATAAGAAGGGGGCAAATACTATGAAAAAAAAATTAGTTTATTAGAAATTAATTATTAAATTGTAATTAATAAAAAATTATTAGATAGAAATGATTAATTGTGACAGGAATGGGTTAGTATAGGAGGATATATGTTTTGTGATTCACCGAAAATTGATTTTGTTACATATAATGAGTATTTTCTGATAAATTTACTATAAATAGTACTTATAAAACTTCCTATCTGCATATTAATCTTAACGATACAATTTTTTTAATACTCATAAAATTTTCTACTTAATGATGTCAATTTCAAACTTGACAATTGAGCTAAAAGTTATGCTAAATTAATTCATTTTTTTTACTATAAACATTCACAAAAATCAGCTTTAATCGATTAAAAAAAAACCCAGCACAGGGGGGTCCCGGCACAGTGGTAACGTGGCATAGTTGGATCAAGTATATTGATATCTAACAGTGATTAAAATCACTATAAAAAAAAAAGGCTTCGATGCAAATCTTTAGATAGTGTTAAATTTTAAAAAAATTGGTGGATTACTCCAAAAGCTTTATAAACTGCTAGTTCCTTATTAATATCCTAATTAAGATAAAGTATGTAGATTGAAAAAGGGATTATTAAAAAATATTATTTCTCATAAAAAAATAATGTTGATCCATACACTTTTCAATATGTCATAGCATTATAAAGTTAAAAATGTAAAAAATAAAATCGAGAATTTTCACACAATAATAGCATTTGGTAGCCATTTTCACCGTGAAGACAAAATAAAGTCCGAAATTTTTTTTTTACATAATAAAGTAGATTACATTAGCTTTAATTTAAGATATATATAAAAGTGTCAGACTTTCCGGAACACTTTCAAAAGTTAAGTTGAAAAAATTAATTTTTTGTAAAAAATTTGTTATTTTAAATCCCCCCCGTGGGCAGGTAAAAAGTCAGATTTATAAAAAAAATATACCAAATTATAGGTAATGACATCATGCATCTATAAAAAAAAGAATTATATTGAATATGTTTAACTTTTTATATTATGTCAATTAAATTGATAGAATATTTATGAAAATCAGTGTAATTATTTGTAAAGTATTTTAAAATAATATATAATACAAAACCAAGTATTTTAACACAAAAATAGTATGTGGTAGCCATTTTCACCGTCAAGGCAAAATAAAATCTGATTTTTTTTTTATAATTATGTATATTACATTATATTTAATTTAAGATACAAATAAAAGTGTCAAAGTTTTCGGAACACTTTCAAAATTTAAGTTGAAAAAGTTGTCATTTTGAATTCCGCCCTGTAGGCAGGTAAAAAGTCAGATTTATAAAAAAAATATACCAAATGATAGGTAAAGACATCATGCATCTACAAAAAAAAGAATTATATTGATCCATACATCTTTCAAAAAGTTATAGCATTATAAAGTTAAAAATATAAAAAAGAATTTTTTTACAAAAATCGTATTTTTTTTATTAAGTTTAATGTCTGTTTTCACCATGAAGATAAAATAAAGTCCGAAATTTTTTTTCGCATAATAAAGTAAATTACATTAGCTTTAATTTAAGATATATATAAAAGTGTCAGACTTTCCGGAACACTTTCAAAATTTAAGTTGAAAAAGT